GTTTGTCCCATTTTCTCAAAATGACATCGATGTGACTTACTGCCTTTTCTCAGGGAACGGCAGAATACCTGACATCTACATTTTGTATTTGTGGTAAGATATAGCCCTTTAGTTTAGGTAACATTTATCCTTACTGGGCCGCGCTCAGCCTGTCATTCCGCCTAATCTCTATTGTTTGTTTACCAACATTTGCATTAAAGCCTGGGGTCCTCAGGTAACATTTATCCAAAATACGCGCGCAGATTTAAACAGCTTGAAAGGGCTTTTACTAAATCGCTCGCCCAAAAATTTCACGTGACTGTGGTTTTTTTGGTTTTGCAGCCGTACAAAACGGTTTTACATAAACCCTAATCCCAACGCCTAACCCTAACCATAACCCCGAAGCTATCCATAATCTTAACCACAACCCTAACCCTAACCCGAGCCCTAAATAATCGAATTCACGTTTTACTAGCCTGTTACGTGACCAAAACGGTTTTTTTGCCCATAACTCTCCAGGAAAGCATTTTAACCCTACGTCATGGGGGGTGATTCGGAATCAGCTTCCAAAAATACACCGATCTTTCATGCCCAAAGGGCCTTTTCAAAAGAATTTTCTTAAAATTTGGGCGAGCGATTTAGTAGGAGCGGCTTGAAAGCCACGCAATTTTAAGGCTCTGATCTCAGAGATTCAGTTATCGGCCCCAACTGGCTCTAATCAGAGCCCTTTCGCTTGCAGTAGCGTGCGACCGCCGAAGCTGCGGCACGGGATATTATTCGATCTACTTGTGAAAAAAGCGCGTCACGTTTAACGTTTTCTGAGCTGAATACGCTACGCGCGTATCTAACAGCATTGATAAAGTGTATATTTGTGCTATGATGTCTGTTGTCCAATGTTTGATTTTTTGCCTTTGTTTACCTTAAACTTACTTAGGTTGTATAGGGTTTTCTATTTGATCGAAGAATTATGGATAGTATAAAATTTTCAGGAGAAGATTCTCTACAACTTAAGCTATGAATCACGTTATAAAAATACTGTTTTAGCTGTCACGAAAGGCAGTAAGTCACACAAAACTTGACAATTTAGCACGTTATCCCAAAACCTTCCCTGAGAAAAGGCAGTAAGTCCATTTGTACAGCCTTCTCTGAGGGAACTTTTTCCGTGAGGGAACTTTTCCCCTGAGAAAAGGCAGTAAGTCCAGATTTATTTGCAGTTTTTATAGTTTTTGGCCTATAACTTCCACAGTTTTAGTTATATCGAAATAATTTGTATGTGGTACTGGTCGTAATCAGCTCATCAAGCAAAAAATTTTGGTACTAATAATTACAAATTTAAAGAAATATTATTTTCAAAATTTTTGAACCTGAACACAAGGGTCCCCCCTTGTGTGAATTATTGAAACATTTTTTGAAAATTTTGGTGCTTTAAATATTGTACGTTCAAATATTTTTTTTCCCAAATTAATCATTAATGCGTCTGACCGAGCTGAATACGATGCTGTAAAAATTATTCCAAAATATTCGATATTTACGAAGTTATATGCATTTTGAGCGAGAAATTATCCATTTTTCGTCAATATTACACACTTGCAATGCACAGGAGGCCCACATAATTATATTGCAAGGATATGATCAAAAATATAGAAATGTTGTATTTTTTGTGTTGACTTTATCTGAGAAAAATGGACTTACTGCCTTTCTAGGGAGGAATCGGTTGAAATCGATTCTGATAAAAGGCAGTAAGTCCGAAATTCCCTCAGAAAAGGCAGTTAGTCCAATGCGGATGGGAAAATAGTTCAGTTATTCTGGAGAAAAATGGTTTTTATAGATCAGTGTTGGTGAATTTATGCTTTTAAGCATGTTTAGGACATATGACAATAATTTATTTACACATAGATGTCAAAATTAACCCCATTTATACGAATAAAATTACCTAAAAAACGACAAACACGTTTGTCCCATTTTCTCAAAATGACATCGATGTGACTTACTGCCTTTTCTCAGGGAACGGCAGAATACCTGACATCTACATTTTGTATTTGTGGTAAGATATAGCCCTTTAGTTTAGGTAACATTTATCCTTACTGGGCCGCGCTCAGCCTGTCATTCCGCCTAATCTCTATTGTTTGTTTACCAACATTTGCATTAAAGCCTGGGGTCCTCAGGTAACATTTATCCAAAATACGCGCGCAGATTTAAACAGCTTGAAAGGGCTTTTACTAAATCGCTCGCCCAAAAATTTCACGTGACTGTGGTTTTTTTGGTTTTGCAGCCGTACAAAACGGTTTTACATAAACCCTAATCCCAACGCCTAACCCTAACCATAACCCCGAAGCTATCCATAATCTTAACCACAACCCTAACCCTAACCCGAGCCCTAAATAATCGAATTCACGTTTTACTAGCCTGTTACGTGACCAAAACGGTTTTTTGCCCATAACTCTCCAGGAAAGCATTTTAACCCTACGTCATGGGGGGTGATTCGGAATCAGCTTCCAAAAATACACCGATCTTTCATGCCCAAAGGGCCTTTTCAAAAGAATTTTCTTAAAATTTGGGCGAGCGATTTAGTAGGAGCGGCTTGAAAGCCACGCAATTTTAAGGCTCTGATCTCAGAGATTCAGTTATCGGCCCCAACTGGCTCTAATCAGAGCCCTTTCGCTTGCAGTAGCGTGCGACCGCCGAAGCTGCGGCACGGGATATTATTCGATCTACTTGTGAAAAAAGCGCGTCACGTTTAACGTTTTCTGAGCTGAATACGCTACGCGCGTATCTAACAGCATTGATAAAGTGTATATTTGTGCTATGATGTCTGTTGTCCAATGTTTGATTTTTTGCCTTTGTTTACCTTAAACTTACTTAGGTTGTATAGGGTTTTCTATTTGATCGAAGAATTATGGATAGTTCAGACTATTGAAATGTTGCTTATAGTTATATAAAAGTTTCTGAACATTTTGAACAACAATCAAAAATAAGTTTTGACAATTAATGGTACACGTCAGCATATTACCTGGTTTAGATCTGTAGGATTCTGCATCGTATGAGGTGATCTTTATCTTTGACACAGCATCAGCCCATCTTCCCCACTCGAACTCACACGTACTATCCGATATCGTGATGTCTATTAGTGGCTCCTCGTTATACTTCACAGTTATCGTTGGTCCGGCTGATTCAGATTGCGTCTTCGAGAAAGTCCACACAATTTCATCATCAAACGGCTCCGCGACATTGAGACTCTCATAACTATAGAAGCAGTTGTAGATTGAGTATTTTGCGGCCGACGATTTGAGGTCTTTGATGAAGATACGTCCTATCTCTTGATAATCTTTATTGTATAACCGCATATACAGTTTGTCTGCGTTGTTCGTCTTTATTTGAAGATCTTCACTTTCCCAGTTGAAGTCTACTATTGCATCTTTAGTTACTGGTATCCACCAGCCTGAAGTTTTGGATGGAGTTTAAAGACCACAAAAGCAAAGCTAACAGTTACATGGTTACATTTTTTTGATATCATGGCGGACTAACAGAAAATTGTTTACGATCTGTTGTCGTTGAAAATGAATACGATATTCTAACTTAAACTACAAACTAGTAACTGTTGAATACGATATTCTAACTAGCAACTACTGACACTGTGTACGTACCATTAAAAGTAGCTAGCAGCAGTACCAGCGAGGAGGAGGGCTGCGAGGAAGATAACCATCTTGATCCCAGTCTGATTGCTTGCGGAGACGTGATACTGATAGTCGACTACTCCGGAGGTAGTTATTTAACTTTGGATAGCTTTAAAATTGTAAGCAGTGTCACAAACGAAGGTAAACCGTTGGCTTGTATTGTGGCTATAAAGAGAGCATGCTCCCTTTTTCTAACCTTGTATCACGTGGTTGTTACGTGGAGGAAAAGGGCCTAATGGCTCAACACGCCCAGGTTCGATCTTATTGTTACTGAGAGTCAGGGTGTGTAAGGGGTGCTCTTTAAAACGTCCGTAGGGCATTATGCTCGATGATCTCAACCCGTGCTATTTAGCAGCTTAAGCGAGAGAATTGCTCTGTGGACCTGTAAAGGTATACCTAGCAGTCCACCAGGCGCGCAGACTATCACTAATATATGAGTCACACATGCATGGTTCTAGCTTTTTAAACAGTAGCTGAGATGAGAATCCCGGGTCTATGGTTTACGAAGCCAGATAGTGTGGATAATGTTCGGGTAACCAGGGTGTTGTTTCTTTCTCTAGCTGTTGTTTAATGCATTGTTCACAAAATCATAAGGCTAGGTTAATCGAAGATTACTGAGGTCTGAGAGCGAGAATAATTTGGTGCTACAAATGGGACTCTAAGTTTAAGAGGGACTGGGAGTCACGCATCAAGAGTAGATTCATTACAATATTATGTAAAACACTCCGAGTAAAAATAGTTGTTAAATCTGGTTGCAATAACGTACCCTTGACAATGGTACTCAGCCTTCATTCCTAACATTCACCGTGCAATTTATTTCATGTTGTCATACTCATATAGTTCAAGTCCCTGATAATGATATCCATTTATTGGGTTTACGCAGTGGATCTTGATTGTGTTTTTGTACTTTCATGAGCTAGTAGACTAGCAGAGGGAAGAGGGATTCAATTCTGATCTCAATATGTAAATAACTTGACAATCCAGGGTGCTGGTTTTCAATGCCATGTTAAACGAGTTTAAATCGCAGAACTGAGAACATAATCTTGGAGCCGGTCCTGTATCATATATAATACACCACAAGCAGTATTCTTTTCGATTATCCTACAATAGAACAGTTCTTTAGTAAACGAACTAATGCTTTGGGGAATGAAAAGAAGGCAGGTCATGTTTTGGTGCACGGCATGGTACTTGAATATTCAAATACTTGACTCCTCGATCCCTGAACGTTTAATACTCATGATCCAACACTGATTGAAAGGGTAATGCACTTGTAGTTGTAGTTAAATTTAAAAGAGCGCTGAGATTAAATTGAGGATTGGGGAGAGCGGACAGTAAAACGAGAATTTTGGGGCGGCTTGAAAGCCAGACTGAGAAATAGCAAATTTGACCAATCCACATAATATCAATTATATGGAACTGGAAGTTTACCCGGGTAAGCACACGGTTCCAATACATTTTATCTCATCGTGTCCCTCGGGGCTGCAACAGCGCCCTACTACAGTGGCCCTTGGGGCTGCCACAGCGCCCTTACCAATAAATGGCAGAATTCTTTTGGCTTTATAACCAAGTTGGCTCGGTTAGGACGCTAGGTACATGTAATTATTCATAAATGAAAAAAAAGGAAAAAACTCAAATATTTTAGTGCTTAATAATTGGAAATAGTTGTTAAAATCAATTAAATTTTACGGTTAAAATCTAAGAAATACATAGTTAAAAATATGATCAACAATTTCTCTCAATCCTGCAAAACTTAAAATGAATTCAATCAAATTAAAAATGTCACAATTGAAAATAAATTCGGTCCATGAAAAAAAAAAACAAACCAAAAGTTATTATGAACCTCCACGCCCTGTAGTCCAAGTAGTTCATGCTGTAAAACATAATTAAGATTAATGAAAATCATGAATAGTAATATTTTTCTAAATCATTCTACTTCTAGTGGTTCACTCTAACTGAACAATCCCACCTACAGAATTGTCCTCGATAGAGAAAGTGACTCTACCAAGTACAGTGCTACACTCCGTGCAGAAGACACCCATGTTACCCAAAGTAGAATTAGCCGCGTTTTCGTCAGGAAACGCTGTGAACTGAAGTTTCCCGAGAGCTCGGATATCATACCTCCCTCGGATAAAGTCTGATATTTTAACAGTTTTGTTTGGAGAAGGTCTGGTTTTGAGGAGCTTGTTGGAGCAGGTAGGACATGAGTTAGAGGGGGTGGAGGAAGGACTGGCATAGGATACAGAGTTATAGGAACTGTGGTTCTCGCTACTTGACTCATTCAAATGCTGCTGCATCCGACTAACCTTTCGTCTCTTGATCACCAAATTTGAAGTTTCTTCTGGAGAATGGGCCCGTTTATCATCTGCGCTAGAATTAATTTTAAAAGGGGTTATCCCCTCTGAAGAAAATATTCGTCTATCATCTAAATGTGAAGTTAAATTGGGAGGAGATATTTCTTTTATAGACTTGTCTGCTAGCTCTCGGATGGTCGCCCCACCCTCAATCTCTTCCTCAATAAATAACTCTGGAGAGGATGAGATATCAATGCTAGCTTTAGAGTCCTCGTTTTCATATTTCACAGTAACATTGTGTTCGGGGGAGGTAGACGTGTCAGAAGCATCAATATCCGCAGTCTGTCTTTCTTGTACAGCCGCTAATGTTCTGTTGTCAGAGAAAAGAGGGATATTTGTAGACAGCGGTTGTGAGGTCGGTGACAACGTTAGATCAATTACAGGATATTTGCTGTGAGGGTACTCGGTGGTCTCCTCAATACTGGCACTGGTATCAGCGACAGTACTGGTATCAGTGACAGTACTGGTATCAGCGACAGTACTGGTATCAGTGACAGTACTGGTGTCTGTTACAAACCCCCCTGAGTTATACTGGTCTAACATGCCCCGCTTGTCATGACAAAAGTATTCTAGTCTCTCAAACGCCTCTGAGCAGTTCTCTGTTGAGATCATCTCGTCTCTGATCCAACGCGAAATACTTTTCCAGTATCTCTCGTTGCCAGGGAGACGAGATTCTATCATGATGATGGCTCCCCAGTCCTGGATGTGCCTCAAACATCGACCCAGAGCTTGATTCACCGCTCTGAAATAATCGGGTCTTACAAAAATAACTGCTTCATACTTTCATATCATTGAAAGTTATTAATCGAGTCACCAAAACTCTTTTTCATTAATGCCAAGACATCATGAACAATAACTACATAATATGTATTATGTGTATAGAACATTGCAGATATTACAGAGTGAACTATACAGTTGCAGTATACACCACACGTTTTACCTGAAAGCCTGTATAGTGTACCACTCCTGACCACTCAGCAGGCCCTGCTCCTTACAAAACTTATCGTTATATTTCCGCTTATCTGTTATCTCCGTACTCTTGAAGTTGGGGAAGGGCAGCCCGATAGTGATAACGGCTCGAGCGTTGTTATCAGCAAAGTCCACTCCCTCGCTTATCTTCCCTCTACATACCGCGAGAAGTAGGGCTCCTGATTCTACGTTTGCGTCAAACTCTTCCATTGCCTGGAAGGGGACTATCACAGCAAGACTAATCATCAGAATCAACGTTCAACATTCAACATGCTATGGTAATTATTGAGATGAGAACAAGAGTGCAGGTTCCGTGCAGAGGATTATAGGGTTCTATGCTGAAGAGTTTCAAGAACGAACCTCGTTAAACGCGTTCCGATTACTGCCCCTAGGTTCGGACACAACAACCTTGTGATCCTTCATCTTGTCCCACTCTCCCGTAGCCTGCCACCGTTCTGATACCTTCTCCAGGAGTCTGTAACTGGGGAAGAAGACGAGGACTCCGTGAGGGACCAAGCTGCACACTCTGCAGATCACCTGGCCGATATCATCTTGGAACTTGAAGGTCTCCGCGTTCTTGTATCCTGGGAGGTTATTGTTTGTTACATTGTGTACGGGAAACTTTTACTTACAATTAACCACCGTTCCAGTTGAGATTAATGAGAACTAGAACCCTGCAAACTGCACAGAAAACTAGTGGAAATATTAAATAGCTAACCTGCGTTGAAGGAATGTCCACTAGGTCCAGCAGTGAGGTTCATAGCTAGGAAGTTAGATTTAGGCACCACATGTTTACCCTCGTGTTGGACCCGGAACTCTGCTCCCAGTTCAGACTGGAATGTGTCCATCGGACTCAGTGTTCCTGTTAGGGTTTATATGATCATAGATATTCTCATAATTATTAACACGCTGAAAAGTTTGCGGTAAAAGTGACTGATAGATTGGGGAAAAAGACAACATCATGTGACCAGTAAGATATTCTAAGATGATAGGCAGTTGTAGTCGGAAGATTTTTGTACATATCCGTGACGATGTACCTGATGTGACAATGAGAAAGTAGTGATATAGCAGTAGAAATGTACCTGATGTGACAATGACAGAATGACACTTCGTACTGAGATGTTTGAAGACGACAGAAGGATTTAAGCAGTTTATACTGAGAGTTATACCGATCAGACGTTCGAACCTGTGCGTCTGAGGATTCTCCACACTTAAAGGGGACTGTTTTATCTGAGAGAGAGAGAGAGAGAGGGGGTTAGGGGTATTGGAGAGGAAACCTGGAATATAAAATATTATTGTCATTGCGCTTCTGGATAAAGATATCTCGTAAACAAAACTGTGTTCTCATAAACTTACACATAAACTGAAGGATGAATCGTTTCCAGTAGACGCGAAAACTCGATAAGTTATAACAAACTTCTCGCAAAGAAACAAGGTAGAATTTTTGGGTTTAGGACGTTTGTATTCGGGTTCCTGAGGTGATGACTCGGAGGGTTCTTTATCCTTCTCAGCAATAACAGTTACCCAGCCGGACAACTGCTCTACTCGGTCTGAGGTTATTCCTATCGCCTGAGACAGACAGTTAGGATAGGATACACTCACATATTATAGGTGCATTACATAAACATGATATTTTTAGCATAAGGTAACATTTTGGTTAGGACAGAGATGTATCATAGCTACGATCTACATGCTAGATCTTTGGATATAGTTAGTTGAATTGTCAAGATGTACTGTACCTGTTTGTAATAATGATTATGTGGAAGCTTTTAATCTAACATCATATCTATAAGAGTGTTCTGAAAAACCGAACTTAGGATTTAGGGAAATACCTGAAGTTGTTTGAGACAAGTACCACCCTCTAAAGAGTAATGAGAATGCTCAAAGTAATCATCAACAAGTCTACTTTTATAGGCTAGAGTCCAGTTTAGAAGGGTCTCCAGAAACAGCTTCATTCCCTCCAGTTGTGGCTCCTGAGACTCGAACCTGGGGACGTTATCAGTTTAGTAGCTACAAGGTAATAGGTGTGTTGTCTTTTATCGGCACTGTGAATTATAAAGTCTTACAGATTATAAACTATAACATGTTACTCGCTTTAAAGTACAAGACAACACTGATCATGCCAAAATAAAGCTGCCACCCACATACCCCATGTTAGAATCAGGATACTCCTTGCTGTACCCAACACACTGCCTATCTTTACCAATAACCTCATCCAGGTTAGCAATAGCTTCACCCATCATAAACTGGGTAGCTTCGTAACCCACCGAGCTTCTACAGACGTCCTCTATGTTGTGTCCTTCATCGAATATAACCACCTGAGGAGGGAAATACGATTACACTAGGCGCTTAGTGCCGCCTAGCAGTACCGCCTAGTGCCGTCTAGCAGTACCGCCTAGTGCAGCCTATCAGTGCCGCTTAGTGCCGTCTAGCAGTGCCGCCTAGCAGTGCCGCCTAGTAGTACCTCCTAGCTGTGCCGCCATCAGAAACTGTGGTCATTCTTACAATTAACAATACCAAGTTATAAGAATTACTAATAGAAGAGTCACGCTGTTTTACGTATTTTTGATTTGACAAGACACTCGAGACTAGGATTAGATGGTTTTAAATTGCGAGCAGTATAACAAGGTTGTCTGTATTGATTACAAAATATTAAAATAATATTGTACGGAAGCTAGGTAGAATTATACTCTAACTAACTAACTAACGTTGTCAGAAAGTGCTAGTTCTCGTTGAGCAGCAATAAAAGGGTCCAGAATGTAGTTATACGGAGCGAACACTATGTCAGCCGTCTTGGACATTTCCACCTGAAAATACATAGAATTGTAGAACTCTGATACCTTATAAAATAATCATATAAGTTTAAAATGTTCGTTATATTAATATAAGAATATCATTGATTTCCACCTGATACTATTATCAAATAAAATTCATCCTGATAAAATACTGTTCGTGATTCTACGTATATTATTATTTGTAAGTGAAATCGTCAGAAAGGATTGAAACGCAAGTTTTTACAAACGACAATTATTATAGGTTAACTATTAGTGAACACTGAGCACACAATATCTCAGAGCTCACAAAAACAACTCACAACACTGAGAAAGAGGTGGGATTTACTGAAACTTCTATAGTTTGACTGCCACATATTTACAGATAACCACATTCTCCAGCTTTACTAGCCCTCAATAACTACTAATTACACTGGCAGCTAGTTACTGGCTACGACGAAGACTTTGTCAAGACAATACAACAGTGCGTTTCTCATCACATTTTAAACAACGTGAGAGTACGACAATTGAACGCTATAATAATAACAATCTGATAAAACAACCTGATTAGTTCTACACAGTTAAAATAAGCTTACAGATGCGTAGTAAGGACAGGCTATTTCCCGTTTCCCGACTCGAGCTAACTCCTCAACGTCCCAGGCCTGGTTTATACCGTTCCGTTTCAACACTGACCGGCTGGTAAGTTTGTTGGCGTTCTCTCCGTACATACACTTCTCTGGAAAGAGTTGACTAAATTATAAACGTGGTACTTGAGTCAGATTATCATGATGATATCGTTAAAGGACACGTTCAGAATGTTAGTAGATTATTACTTTCATTTTCAATATTAAATTAGAAACTTACTTTCTTGACGAAGCTCTCTGCACTTATCATTTTTATTGGATTCCTTAGCTAGTTTAGGGTTAACACAGGAGTGCTCTCTGCTGGACAGTATTGACATATGCACCTGAAACAGAAAATTTTAGATCGAAGACTGCTTCTCGGACAATCTATCAGGGTAAAACAATCCCGTGTACGACCAGTTTAGATGCTACCGCAATCGTTGATGAGTAATCTAGGCTAGCAGCGACCAATGTATGAGAGAGGCAGGCACGAAGAAACCCCTGGCCTCAGGACCCTTGTTAGGGGAACTTCGCGACCGAATATCATAAGTAAGGCGACCATTTGGTACTAAAAGGAGTTATAACGATTCAAGTGGTCTGTAAGTTACTCTAGAGCCATGCTTAATTCCCGCCAATAAATCAATAATTCGATTTTATATTACATCTCAGCAACTTGGATGGTGATTTCAAACCACGCGGTAAAACATTAAAATTTAGATGAATTTGTTGTGTTGTGCGCGCGGCTATCCTAATTCAGACGCGATGCGCCCGACAGATAAGTGAATTTTCATGAGGACTGAAAAATAAGGACCTAGTCTGCGGAGAAATTTGTTTTAAATTTCATATCAACATCATATAATATTTATTAACCAGCTGCTATGCGGCGAAAGTAGAGAATATTAGTGATTGATTCCAATTGACTACATACACCAAAGAACTCTATGATGACAAATAAATGACCGTACATCTAGTATCTACTAAGCACTTAAGTAAACCGGCTCACCTTGCTGAACTCTGTTTTGTTTAATTCCCGAATGATCTGCGCAATTTGCCGGTGAGTTCTGGTGCAGAAGTAGATCTTAGGAGGATGTTTCCTCTGTCTCATCTCATCACAACAACAATCTGATAACACAGCACCGTTCCCTGGCTCCGTCTTTTCCAGTTTCTCAGATTTTACAGGATCCGACTTTTCAAAGTCGTAGGTATCATGTTCATTTGGTACAATACCTGTTGGAGAAATATTTTTTGTTGGGGACTGGTCCGTGGTACCAGCCAATGTTTACTCAAAAAATATATATAATATCAATGGTAATAAGAAATTCATCCCCGTGGGGCACATGCATAAATATAAAATGTAAAGGAAATCTCTAACTATTTAATTTAGACTCTACCGGAAAAGTATGCAATGAAGGTTTATAACTTAAAGTTTAATTTTCTAATGGTTAATAGGTAAAGATTAAAAACAGTAAAACAAGACTGAGCACTTCAAAATTTGTAGAATTTGTAACTTGATTTGAAATACGCGGCGATAAAAAAGAATGTCCAATGTTGGCAGTGTAAATGATGAGATATGCGACGTTTATTGAGTGATGCATAAGTGTGTGCATATAATCTAAGATGTAGAGACAAGGTTATTATCGGCATTTTGGTTTATGTTACGCTTTGATTTTCTTAGTCCTGTTATACAAAATAACATGAAATTAGGCCATTCGTCTTCGATGTTTTCATTTTGCTGATCGATGAGCATAGTTTTTATACAAGTTTTGTAAATGTTCAGGTTAAATAGACTAGGCGGGGAAGTTGCTGCAACATTATATCGGTTTATTGCTAATAATGGACCTTTAAAAAATACTGAGTTGTTGTAAGGGTGTTGACCATACTTTTCTGACCATTGTGTAGTGAGAATAGAATCCGTGTTAGTATTAAATAATGGTGCGCTTTTGGGAATTGTTTTCTTGAGAGACAATGGTACTAGATTAGGAAAGTTTTTCAATGTATGCATTAAAATGAGTGCGTTCTTTACAATGATACTGTGTACTGTCAATATTTTATGTAAATAAAAGCCAGACTTGGTACTTGCTGGGGGGATACCGTCCTTGTACCAGTAATTGACGAAACCAGGTAATACTGCACGAAGGCCCATTTTCTGTTTTACAAAAAGTGATTCAATATGAGACTTAGCAGCAAAACCCCATACAAGGCTGCAATAATTAAGGTGTGACTGCACAAAACTTTGATAAATTTGAAGACGTGCTTCGAGAGGCAGATATTTTTTAAGTTTGTACATGACTCCTATGTATCTGGACATTTTCATTTTCATGGCAGAGATATGATAGGACCAGTTTAGTTTATCATCTATTATAACTCCTAAAAAACGGGCTTCTGTTTTTCTCTCAATTGTGACACCAGAAATTGTCACATCACGATAATTAAGATTTCTTTGTCGAGAGAAGATCATATAATTTGTTTTCTTAAGGTTGAGAGCTAAACCATTATTATGTACCCACTTATCTAATGCATCGCTATGAGTTATTAGTTTATCGTAAACTTCATTAAGATTTTCTCCTATCAGGAAGATGTTGGCATCATCTGCGTACATAATGAAATTGGCTATATCTGATATTTGAGGCAGGTCGTTTATGTAGATTATAAAGAGTAAAGGTCCTAATATTGTCCCTTGAGGCACGCCGTATAAAATTTGGTTGGTTGAAGATTTTGACGAGCCAATTGATACAAACTGTTTCCTGTTAGTGAGATATGACTTGAACCAATTTAAGGCTTGACCTCTTATGCCGTAATGGTCCAGCTTGTGCAAGAGTATGGAATGATCCACAAGGTCGAAAGCTTTGCTGAAGTCGATTAAAAGAAGTAAAGTTACCTGCTTTTTAGACATTGAATTAAGAATGGTGTCTTTTGCGTTGAGAAGAGCATGTTCACAATCCTACCCGGGCGAAAACCGTATTGGTTTTCACATAGTATGCTGTATTTATCTAAAAAACTTAAAACTCGGTTATGCATTAGCTTTTCAAATACTTTAGAGAATGAAGCAAGAAGAGTCTGTAATTTTTTATGTCAGATTTAGATCCACCTTTGTGAATTGGGACCACCTTCGCTTCTTTCAAAGCCTGTGGAAAGATCCCCTGTTCAAAAGAACTGTTGACAACGTGGGCTAGTACACTAGTAAAACTGGGACAACTGTTAGCGATTTTTAAAGGTTCAATTTTAGTGTCTAGTGTGGCTTTATTCTTAAGCAAGTTTATGACGTCCTGAATTTCTGTGGCAGTGACTGGCTTTAAGTAAATACTACTTGGAGTGGCGTTGCGAAGTGTGCTCTGGGTTCCACCAGGATCAAAAGTGGTCCTACTACTAATTTCAGACTTAATTTTTGGAGCGATGTTTGAGAAGTAATCGTTAAATTTTTCTGCTACAGCTGCCGGAGTGCTGATTGAGCCGTCTTCGTCAGTCAGTTTTATTGAAGTAGGTTTAGATTTTTTCCTATTTAGAAGACTGTTTATCATTTGCCACTGCTTCTTAGAATTTTCTTTGTTTTGCTCAAAAAAATTTTTGAAGTGCTTGTTTTTTGCTTTATCGATGTGTTTATTACAAAACTTCTTCAGACGGTCATATTTACTGAGGTTACTATCAGATGGTTCCTTAACAAAATCATAATATGACTTATTTTTACGTTCTATAGCTTCTTCGAGCCAGGGCAGCATCCATGGTTTCGGATTAACACGTTCATTTTCTCTTCGTGATTGTCTTTTTGTAGGATAGGCAGACTCGTAAATCTTATTATAAGCCGTATTAAATTATTGAACTGTTCGTTGGCATCATTGGTATTGTTAAAAATTTCTGGCCAACTTTCATCTATAATTAAGTCTCTGAATTTTTGATTGTTGGTGTCGTTAAATCTACGTGTTTCAGTTTGAGATACATTTTGTGAGTTAGACGCAGAGCGGTAGCTGCTGGTTGGCGTGTTATCAAGATTTATTGTAGTGACTATTGCTAAGTGATCCGACATATCTGTCGTTAAGACGTTACAGCTTATTGTATCCTCAAGATTTTTTGTGTAGATGTGGTCAATAAGCGTGGCACTATGGTCCGTTAGGCGAGTTGGGCGTGATACAATTTGAATAAAACCGTAAGAGGACGCAATATCTATAATGTTCTGACATGCTATATAGTATCGTAAGTTTCCCCTGTCGTGTAAACATACTGATACCAATTCGAAAGTGTTATAATATAATATTTAGTAATTAAAATTAAATCCACAATTTTCCATCAATCCAGGTAGGAAATGATGAGAAACTCTATACGAACCAGGACTAGGATACCCCTTCAGTGCATACTGTAAACATAGTACTATTACTATTACTATTACTATTACTCTACGAACCAGGACTAGGATGTGTAGACTTATTAGGTGAGATAAAGTCGTCATCGTCAGAATTACGATCAGGAGAAGTTGTATTGGAGGGTGCCTTTACAGGTGTAGTAGAGTGGGACCTACCATTCGGCCGGGCAGGGGTTGTTGGGAGAGTGTTATCATCTGAGGGGGAGGGGTTGTTGAGTCCAGGGTACGTACTTTCTTTCCAGTTTCTAATCGTACATGAATATTTATCATATTATAGATCACCAAAATTTGAAATATTTCGTTTCAGTCGTTACCGATAAACTTAGGAGCAGGTTGATAGTTTTCCGGCTCAGTCAGGACCCAAGTCTCAAACTTAGTGTTGGGTTTAAGAAACAGCTCCTTTTGTACCATCGCCACACCACTTTTAGGGATCTGACAAATGAAACGATCATCAGAATAGATTATTGGTCGATGAAAAGTTGTGAAGTCGGACAACTTTCTTAGATTACCACCCAATCAGTGCTTGCTGTTTCAGTGGGTGCTTAATTTTAAGATCCATAAATAACCGCCATAATTGTCAATGTAATGATTGTAAACCTCTACAAAAATAGATCTGCTACTGGTCTCGTCTATTTCAACTAAACGAAGGGAGTTCTCTTCTTGTATAGTGCGCACGTCTACTCGCTTTACTTTCTGAAGTGATCTGATGATAATGTATGGGAAAAATATTTTAACAGGTTTACTATTCCAAAAATTTCATAAATTAAGCCATCAACTCTTTCTGCTGTAGTTTCACAAATAATGAACAGTGCAAAGCTCTCTTCACACAGAACTACATAATTTAATTTAATAACTACTAAAACCTAAAGTAGTGATTATAAGATAAACCATACCACGTTTCTGTACACATCGTGAATGAACAAATGAACACTTCTCATCTTCTTTTCCATGCTCTTCTTCTTTGAGACTGGGTTGTGAATCTTCACAGACGCTATTCTTCCAAACTTCTTCCCTGTAAGTAAACTCTGATAATGATATTTGAGACCAGCTCTTTCGGTTACATAGTATTGGAGGAAACATTCGAGGAAATATCCAGAAGTTAATGTATTAATATAAAGAACTTAATGTATTAATATAAAGATTAAAACAATGATTCTTGTGAAGTTGTGAAAGGCACACCTAAAATCAATATCATCGATTGTGATAATGATACGGTTTTTAAATCACAGAAGAGGAGAAAAGCTAATTAACGTGTCTCTTAATTCCATACTATTCTACAAGTTTAGTTTTAAAGAATAATCTACCTTTTTTGTAGTCAGAGTCGTCTTGTTCTACAATAGAGATGTTGCCATTGGTACTTGAAGTACCCGCTTCTGCTCCCTTTAGAGTCTGGTTCTCTTGGTCTGAGATGAAGGTTATAAATACAGCTGATATATACTGCCCTTACTATTTGATACACAATGTCCAATTATAAAGGATAGTTGTCTCAATGTTGATGGTCCTTTCCACTATCACACTAGCCCACACTACGTAAAGTTTATAAATGAAGCTGAATAAAGCCAGATAGATCTACTAACCAGGATTAGGGTAGTAGGAATGAAGCCGAATAAAGCCAGATAGATCTACTAACCAGGATCAGGGTAGCTGTAGGAATGAAGCCAAATAAAGCCAGATAGATCTACTAACCAGGATCAGGATAGTAGGAATGAAGCCAAATAAAGCCAGATAGATCTATTAACCAGGATCAGGATAGTAGGAATGCAGCCAAATAAAGCCAGATAGATCTACTAACCAGGATCAGGATAGTAGGAATGAAGCCAAATAAAGCCAGATAGATCTACTAACCAGGATCGGGGTAGTAGGAATGAACCCAAATAAAGCCAGATAGATCTACTAACCAGGATCAGGGTAGCTGTAGGAATGAAGCCAAATAAAGCCAGATAGATCTACTAACCAGGATCAGGATAGTAGGAATGAAGCCAAATAAAGCCAGATAGATCTACTAACCAGGATCGGGGTAGTAGGAATGAACCCAAATAAAGCCAGATAGATCTACTAACCAGGATCAGGGTAGCTGTAGGAATGAAGCCAAATAAAGCCAGATAGATCTACTAACCAGGATCAGGATAGTAGGAATGAAGCCAAATAAAGCCAGATAGATCTACTAACCAGGATCAGGATAGTAGGAATGCAGCCAAATAAAGCTAGATAGATCTACTAACCAGGATCAGGATAGTAGGGATGAAGCCAAATAAAGCCAGATAGATCTACTAACCAGGACAGGGTCGTATGAATGAAGCCAAATAAAGCCAGATAGATCTACTAACCATGATCAGGGTAGCTGTAGGAATGAAGCTGAATAAAGCCAGATAGATCTACTAACCAGGATCAGGATAGTAGGAATGAAGCCAAATAAAGCCATATATATCTACTAACCAGAACAGGGTCGTATGAATGAAGCCAAATAAAGCCAGATAGATCTATTAACCAGGACAGGGTCGTAGGCACCAGTTCTTGTCCTATGTGCGGCGACGAAGAGGAAACTGTCTCACACTTCCTTTTACAGTGTCCGGCTATTGTCCAAATAAGAAGTCAATATTTCCAGGACTACTACCTCCGTCAACGACATATTCGATAACCAACACATCACCACGATTGTCAATTTCGCAAACCGCACCAAACGCTTAATTGTGCCAGAAGAGCTGGATCAGCCTGGGGTGACATAGAGTAAACTCATATGCTGTCTCGTCTCATTCTACATTTCCAAACCCAGCTGGCACTTAGGCGTATCATTTTGACTCATGTCACTTTCAACACCATCCTCCACCATTTACTCTGATTTCTCCGGCAACCTTCCCCAGGGTTGCCACACCCCTACCTACCTTGGGTTCGTTTCAGGCTAGCACGCCCAGGCCAAGACATCTTGCGTCTCCACCAGAGGTAGGCAGAGCATCTCAATGCTATCCTCTCGTGGGCTATCTTGGCACAGCCTTTCTTTCTTTTTTAAAAAGTTGTAGGAATGAAGCCAAATAAGCCAGATAGATCTACTAACCAGGATCAGGGTAGTAGGAATTATCTACATCGTGAACAGGACACCTCCTGGCCTCCTCAACTTCACACTCCGCCTTCATCTTCTTCTGCCAGGACAGTGTGCTACATAGAAGAGACAGGGTTTTACCAGTACCAGTGGGTGACTCCAACAGGGCATGCTGACTGTTCTTCAGAGCTTGGATCACTTTAGACATGTACTGAAACTGTAAGAGGAACTTGTGGTCATTTTTAACATATGTTTCACAATATTCAGATAACAATACAGAACAACTGATGGAGCTGAGTATATCGTTATATAATGTGCTTTAGAGACTTCGAATGAAGATACCCCTGAATAACTCGGATCCAAAAAGGCTAATATGAGCAAAAATTTCAATAAAAATTTCATTTTACAATAACCAAGTTCTCAACAGTACCTGTACAGGATATGGTTTGTAAGGAAACTTCACTGTTACTCCCCCAATAGGATAGCCCTTATTATTCACCGGTTTTGGCTTCACACTTTGCTCAGCTTGTTTCTCAGCTTGTTGAGCAAAGAAGAGCAGGTCACGGTGACTCTTGAGACATTTTGTCACGTGCTTCCCATAGTGCTTTGCTTGCAGTATTGCACCACAGTTTTTACACTTCATTCCACTGACTAGATCAGGTCATCCTTATCAAGGATGTTAAATTAGAAACATGAAATTTAGCTTCAATAAAGCTGCACATTGATGGTTGAACCTGTTTGATCTATATAAAGTATACATATGCGACCACGCCCATTCAATATTAAAACACCTATATTGTTTTCTCTGAACATGCTGAACGCCTAATTTTTTCAGGAAAACAACAATTTCAGGAAAACAACAATTTTATTTAGTATCAGTTACAGCAAACAAAAAATATATTTTATATAATATAATATAACTAGGACGAACTTTAGTTTAGAAATCTTGGGGACTTGGAGTAGCAAGAGATTGACTAGAAGGTATATACCTTTTACCAAAAACGTCGAAAAGAATCCTGGGTGATACAGGATCGGAGAGTACAGACCATAAAGTTTACGCACCCACCTTTGCCTCCAGAATTCTTGGTTGGTTGAAAATGTATGCTAACTTGGTCGTTTATACTCCAAGTCCCTTTGTTAAAAGAAGTAATATTATGTACGTCTGGAGTTAACTTCATTCAATAATAACAATATCAATATAGTCAATATCAATATCAGACTAAACTATCGAATAAATTATCAAATATTATTTGTTAATTCGATCTGAATAAAAATTTAGTTAAGTTAAGATATTAAATAATTAAAAACATTACAACAAGTGGTTAAAAACGCCCAAAATTGATCTGAGAGCTTTTCAGTCTATAATACAATCATGATAGTAATATTAAGTGTGTTAAGTGTGTGCTGCTGCGATTAGAATAGATTACTGCAATTTAAAATTGTTTGGATTCCAAGTATCTTTTAAATCAGCAGCCTGTACTTGTAATAATAGTGCCTTGGTTCTCAATTTTATCAAGTTAATGGAAGTTTCTAGGCAATTGCTTGAGGTTAGAATTTTTTTATGAACAGTGTTCCAAAGCTTGGCTGCAGTGAACAAAAAAGTATTTGATTTATTAAGAAGAATAACCGTTAAACTCGTTGTACGGTTTGAAATGTTGACGGTAGATTATCAAATGTTGCATATGATCTGAAAACATGAGGCAAAACGGATTAGAAATGACGAAGTTATCAAGCATTTTCTGTATCTCGTTAACAACATTGACTGGGTGATTATGTGACACCGTGACACGACACCTTAATTGGGCACCCTTAACAATTCCCATAATGTTTAACGGGGTAGTTAACGGGGGCACCTTATCACGTGATTAGGTAAACCAATCACCTGATCACACGTAATGAATAAACTCGTTATGCTTCATATCTCGGTCATCTGAGAAGCTACAGTTCTAATTCTTTCAGGACAAACGTAATTTGAATAGCCAAACACAATTCAATAACATTTAGCTTGATCCAACTATCCAAACTATCAAATAAATGTAAAAATGAACCTCCATTTGAAAAAAATGAACGCCAATATTTTTCGAGTTGACAAATTCCTCGAATTTGTCAACTAGGTATTTAAATTGAGCATTCAGTGACTGAGCTATAAAGGCCAACGTATGGGTACTGACTTTTGGCCCACCCTGTAAATATAATAATAATTAATTCAGATGAACCAACACAGTACATAACAGGTGCCACATTAATGTTGGAATTTGGGGCAGTATACACAGTGGCGTAACGTTGCCTGTTGGCGCCCCCCTGCCGAAAAAGCGCCCCCCTGTTGGCGCCCCCTCCCCTTTTGGTGCCCCTCCCTAAAATTGAACAAATTAGGTGATTTTAGAGAATACGCAGGTAAAATCTCTAAAAAAGTGTGTATCTAGAGCAAAACGCGCAGTTTTGCTAGTACTTTAGTTAAGTTTTCGAAATTGTCCCACATTCAAACGACGATTTGGCGCCCCCCTAAGACGGCGCCCCCCTGCACAGCGGGGTCAGCAGGGCCTTTTGATACGCCACTGAGTATACAAATGTAAGTTTGAATAATTTCATATTCGATCTCAAAGACCAAACATAAAATTTGTGCATAAAAATATACATACCATGCCTCTTCAGTCTTCCAGAGGCGGCTCGTGGGAGCCATGGCTGGCAGTTTTGTTGGGTGTCCGACCGACTGGGGGAGGGGGCTTGGGGGCTGCCCCAAGCTCCCCCCCCCAAACTGCCGATGTCTATTCACCGATGACTGCATACAATACTATTACCATAGCAGAGAGTTAATTAATTAATTAAATTATTCCCACGTACATTACAGTTACACACAGGCCACAGTGCCTCATGTATGTAATGTGTCACAGGCGACAGCAAATAAACAAAAACAAAAACTTATAACATGAGTGAAACAGGACACACACGTGTACGATCTCAGCCGCGCAGTATCATAACAGTTCAGATTGCAAGGTGTCCTGGACAACCAAATCATATAAATTACCTGTACTGGATGCGCTTGATGTACTTTGTACCGTTTACAATTAACCATGTGTTAAAACTGCGCGTCTTAGTTGTCCAAACGAGGATTGGACACCCAACAACACAAAATTTCACAAAGGTCATGCGTGCGCTTACATTCGAACGTTTGAATGAATAGAAAGCTTTATATTGCGGTTAGATATTTCCAAATACCATTACTAATCACTATTTTTCCAAATTGTTGTGTTGCAAATTCACATAGCCATGTGTCTACGCGTACTGCGTGACGTGTACTGCGGTCGCGCGCTACTGCAAGCGAAAGGGCTCTGCTTAGAGCAATGTTGCAAATAAAAAAGCATTACAATTTTGTTGATTGCAATGTGAAGCAAACATGGTATATTCTATATAAGTTTGCGCGGCGCGTCGAAGCTGTGACGGCCTCCAAATAAAATAATAAAATTATAAATGTTTAAAATTTGAAATTATTGTGTAAAGATTTTGGGTGTAAAATAAAATTGTTTGTTTTACTAATATAAAAGTGAAAAGGCCAGTCGATCATAAATTTTGAAGAGCAAAAAGGTATTTGGCAAATTCGACTTTAAAAATATTGTAGGTTTACAACCTACCAGGACGCGCGCCGAGTTGGACTCGTCGACGGTCCAATATATGGAACAGATATTTTACGAGTATCACCCGTTAATAAAAATATCGAAATCATTTTCTCTTTCGACGCCGCGCATAAATTTGTTGCTTTTGCTATTTTCATTGCGCTGAGGCCGAGGGGAATAAAAAGAAAATCAACGGCCACGGCCCATAATGCATAAGCATTTTGGACTGCAAAACATTTCCTTTAACCTCATCCATCGGAAAACGAGCTTTGAGGTCTTCTAGATCTGTTTATGTAAATATTTTATATATAAACAAACGACAGTAATTTCTCTCCGGGGAGACAGAGGGGCGAAAAAGAACTTTGTCAATATAGACAGTTTTGATTTGAACTTGGAGCCGCAAGGCCAAGGGTGATTTTCAAAATATTGAATTTTTGAAGGGTTATTTTTATATAGGGTCATTGTGACATTATGTGTATACTGTTTGAAACAATTTATATATATAAACAAAAGCTCTAAGTAACAGATAGTAAACAAAGTAAACATTTCATCCCCTAATCTTTCTCAAACAAAAGTCATGCAATTTGCATACTTCTCCATTTAACTCTATTCTGAGCGATTAACGTTAATTAGTTCAAATCACATAAATTATTCAACGATAATTTTCGAACACTAAGGTCTTGTAGAATCAGTGAGAAAAGGTTTGACTTACTTACTTACTTTACCATCTGTAGGCCCACGCAGTACATGTCCGAGCATGTCTCCTAGATTTGTTTATGTAATTTTTGTAGATATTTTTCTGTACTATTTTATATTATATACAATTTTACGGACGAAATGATCCCAGGGGGGACTCCCAACCCACCGCTTCAGCGGGTAGTTGATGCACCGCGACCGTTCACAAGCAAGAGCCACTTTGGTCTACTTCTGTGAGGTGTCTCAGCTACATGGGTTGGGGGTCCCCCCTTTTTCTTTTTTAAAAAAATTACTAAATACCTTAGAAATGTAGAGAGGCTGATAACCAGAGATAATGAGCTATGAAAGCACGAGGATAGGCACTGGGTCACTCTCGTTTGTTCCTTCAGTACATCTACATCGCAATGTACTGTAACACAGTTCTATACTATACTATGGTACTATAATTGTACAGATGTTTACAGTGCACTACGATGCAAGTGTACATCTTCATTTAAACCTTAATCACGTCTCCGATTATTCGGCTGAGTCGACTGATAAGACATTACACAGATGTTCAATTTTTGATAGATCCAATGGATCCTTAGCTACTCCCTAGATTAGGACTGTACTATGGTGTTCTGTACTTTGTCTGATGTTCTTGAGTGTAATGTTTGTTCCAGTCTTCCTGATTCACTATTCAGTCTGGTGACTTTGTTGTTGAGAAAAGACAATTTTTTGAGAAAAGACAATTTTATTATTTATCACCAATTCAATACATAATCAATAAATATATATCCGAATATATTTGATTAAAAATTAAATGATACAAGTATGCTAGCAGCTAGCGCGCTTATATTTGATAAGTATTCACGCTGTTAAAATGGGTTTTACCACACCGCCACTCACATTAGCACAGTTGGTGAACGGACCCAGGCGCTGTTAAGCTTTTATGAGCCCTGGTTGACTGCTGAGAGTGGCGAAGGGGCTGATATTAATTCTATCTTAGTTTAACCTAGATTCCAATAAAATTTTAGTTTTGTGTTATAATTATATGATTTTTATGCGATATTTAAGTTACAGCTGCTCGCAATACATTATAATTGCTTAAAAATTGTTAAATATGCTCGCTATACGCTTAATTTTAGATACCGTATGTATATATACATATCAGCTCATAATACCAAATAACAATAATAAATAAATTAAAAGCATTGAAGAGGTCCAAAACCAATTCAAGCATGACACAAAGTTGAATCAGGCGTTTGATATAAGATTGTGGTATGGGACACCTGATATTTTAATAGATGTGATAGTTATTGAAAATTGTGTTATATTGATTTTTAACCCAATTATATATTCCAAGGATGCCACAAATCTTGGACAACCCATCCCATGTCACTGTTTCTACATCAATGGGGGACATAACCATTGAGTTGTATTGGAAGCATGCACCCAAGACATGTAAAAATTTTACAGAGTTGTCACGAAAGAAGTATTATAACAACACTATATTTCATCGAATTATTCCTGGATTTATGATACAAGGTGGAGATCCGACCGGTAAGTGCATGATACTTGTGTTATATGACTAGGGATACTGTAACTTAGTATCATTTTGCAACATTTTGGGTGGGTTGTCACCATTTTCGCCATAGATGGATGGCAGAAATGGAAAAAAGCCACTGCAATCGTTTTGATCATTTTTGCCACAAAAATGGAAAAAACTTTTGAGAATGACGCTGGTTATCCTGAAAACTTGACTTTGACCACCCTCATACATTATTACATTGATTGATTGTTGAACAGTCAGAATACTGTGTTAATATACAATACATGCACTATGGATTATCTGAATGATTTATTTTGCAGGTACAGGAAGAGGAGGTAAATCAATCTATGGTGAAACATTTGCTGATGAAATACATCCAGGATTGAAACACACTGGTGCTGGTATTATATCAATGGCCAATAGTGGTCCAGACACCAACGGAAGTCAATTTTTCATCACCTTAGCACCTACATCACATCTTGATGGCAAACATGCTATATTTGGCAGAGTCAGTAAGGGCATTGGGATTGTTAACAGAATGGGATCAATTCAAACAGACGATGATGACAGACCAACTGAACCCATCAGAATTGTTGATACTTTACTGTTGATATAGGAATTAAATCACAAAAGATCACTGGTAGAATCAAAGCTAGCCTGACTAATGTTGTGGTGTTACATATAATCGATAATTCTTATTTATATAATCAAAAACTTGCAGTGCTTTTTAATTTTCCAGTGCATTTTTTGGTGTACACTATTCTTTAAGATGCTATAGATTGAAGAAGTTGCAGTATTCACATGTAATTGTGTGACTAGAACCTACTTTGGTGGAAGATTGTACTTTACAGACAATGGTATGGATTATAAACTTTATCAAATTGTCAATTTCTTACCAATATTGTATGTCCTTAATGAATATCTGGAAAACTAACCAAATTATGATTCAAATCAATTTGATAAATCACCACCAAAATCATCTATTTGTTAAATTTACTGACAAATTTACTGACAATTGTTGATTTATACCTGCTAAATAACTACTACTTTTAGAATGTAGTGCGTCTAACTCTTTTAGAGCTCCACATCTATCCTAATAATATGTCTTCCTGGTTCCCCTTCCCCTCCCAAGAGACAGTAGAAAAGGAATTTCAACTGAGTTTCGTGAAGTTGGATAATATGCTTCATGATTATTATGTTAAAAACAAAGAAAATGAAGCCTTCGTCAATCAGGTTCGTGAAATCTCCTTTGTTGCTAATAATTGATATGTTAATCTTATCTAGCCTCCTGAATTTCGATATTCCATCAAATAAACACACGAAAAAACTGTTTCTTTCATGTAAAATTAGTCACTACAATTATACTATAATAGCATTTTTAGTCTTGAGTTTTCCGAACGTGATCTTGCCATTGTGTTTATATCTAAAAGTGGGTTATTATCAATTTATCATTTAGTTCAACTGTTAAATAGCATTTTTAGTCTTGAGTTTTCCCAACGTGATCTTGCCATTGTGTTTATATCTAAAAGTAGGTTATTATCAATTTATCATTTAGTTCAACTGTTAATTGTCAAATTTACAGGTTCGGAGCCATGTTTTCAGTATGGTAAAGGCTTTTACCAACCTCGAAACTCTCGCTCAAACAGTTCACCAAGAAAATTTAAAATATGAAGTAAGTCCCTGCCCAACCTTGACGAGAGCCTACTATGGCGAATGGCGATGGGTCAATTATTTTTAACTCGAGTCTGCTCATTTTACCCGGTTTTCGTCTAAACTTGTGCTGAAAAGAATTTTACCCCAAACATTCCTGTTTTAGGCAAAGCTAGTGGGTATGAAGCACGATCTAGCTGAAGGAAAGAAAGATATGGCAGTACTTGAGAAAGACAACGAGGTCAGGCTGGGGCAGCTTCACGAGGCTACGTCTGGAAACATGCTCAGATTTGTAAGTACAAAGTTACAAGAATGTTACTGCTATTTTCCATGCTAAGATTTGTGAGTTCATATAAAGTTACAAGAATGTTACTGCTATTTTCCATGCTAAGATTTGTGAGTTCACATAAAGTTACAAGAATTTTACTGCTATTTTACAGTATCGATATAATTAATAGTTGTTGCACATATTCAACCTACAATAACTTGAGATATTAGTATTAATAAGCTACTTATGAACTCCTGACCCAACCACTACTTCCCGTGTTTCTAGAACAATTTAGCCGAACAGCAGCGTATGTTAGTAGAAAGGGAAGCCTGGATAAACGCCCAGCTGGAAGAAGCAAACAAAGAAAACAAAGAACTTCACGGTGATCTTGTGTCCACAATGAAGGACCTGGGAGGCTGCAAGGTTACTATAAAGTACATGGACAAGGAGATAATAGGGAGAATACAGCAGCTGCAACTCATGCAGCAGGGACTGGACAAGCATCCTAACACTCTAACCTGGAACACTATCGAGGCTGAAATATCTCTTAATCGCCACAAGGTCTCAAGTTTGGGGCTTTGTTTTAATTGCACATTCACGTTGTTGGTAGTCACATCTGGTATTAAATACTGAGCTAGAATCTAGATCATACTGATGTAACCTGTTAGATTATGCTGTAGCCTGTATTATATAATACGTAGAATCTACTTGCTGTTGCAAAAGCTGAATTACAATAATTATAACACCTCTAGCTCTCCTGGCTAGTGATTGTAACACCTCTATTATCTAGGCAGTGATATACGCCCACAGTATGAGGAAGAAAGGAACAATACAGAAGTGTCCGTTTAGACGAGGTCTGGTTAGGACTGTGCTATTGCAGAGAGGATCAGAGGGACTAGGACTTAGTATCACGGTAAGTTTTATTAGTAGCACAATTAATCACAAAGTTTTAAATGGTAACTGTTATAGAAATATTGGCAGTCGACTAGCACGGATCACACGAAAATTCTGTTTTATTAGGCCAAAGTTACCTCCGTTTCGGCCTTTGAAGGCATGACTATCGATTACTCCGTGCGACCCGAATGCTAGCAAATAGCTAAAATGATATAAAATAGCAAATGTAATACTGTATTAATAAATGAAGATAGTCCTAGTCATCATTTTGTAAAATAAAATGCATGGAAATACATGCCAAATAAATCTGATCAAATAGTATGTTGTATAATTGACAGTAGTCTTACATAAAAGTATGGAACCTCTGATGACACGGTCTCTATCTTGGTTTGGGAGGTTGATATTTAGCACCACCAGCGACTATTTGTTTCCCAACGTTCATCTCCACTGGTCTATGAGATGTTACAACTCTTGGTATCTTGCTAGACTTGTATTTTCCTAACAGTCTCTCTCTTTCTGACTTTTCTTTACTTTGACGGTTCTTCCACTCCTTTAATAACTCCTGCTCTGTCTTTAACTCTGCGGAAATCAGAGTGATATGTAAATACCTATAGTGAACCCTGTAGAATGTAGATACCTGTGTAGATACCTGTGTAGATACCTATAGTGAACGAAATTTTTGTAAGATTTGATTTTAATTAAATAACTCATTTTAATTAACTTATTATTTAATTATATCTAATTTTAATTAACTTATTAATGTCAGGGGTCTGACATTGCTGTTTAGATTAATTTCTGAGATCTAGGTTTCTTATGACTCTCAAACACTTCCATCAAAAGAAGCTGCAATACAAAACATTAATAATCACGCAACGTACGGAATCAGTTTCATAAAAGAAGATGACAAATTACCTTTCCTCTTATAACTGTTGTTGAGTTCATCAACTAGTTTTTGAAGTTTCACAAAAGCGGCCATTACAGTTATGTAAATAAAAAGAGTAGAAAATCCCTGAAGCAAAGCCTGGTCGAGCGGTGGACTGAATAATTCAAGTTGCAGCAATATAGCGAAAATGAGTACATTTTTGTGGGTATAGTCGAAGTCAGAGGGGAATCCGAGCCGTAATGCAGTTGCACATGATTCGTAACTTGGAGTTGAGCAGGTAGGGAAATACCTGAATCTCTGGGCTGGGATTGGTTAAAGCCTGAATCTCTGGGCTGGGATTGGTTAAAGTCCGAATCTCTGGGCTGGGATTGGTTAAAGTCTGAATCCTGTGGGTTTGGATTGGTCCAATACCTTGCTCTTTAGGATTGGTTATACGGGGTAAATTCAGGCTCTTCATGAAAACCAAACAAAATTGCAAATATTTTGTTGAAAATTTTTGTAGTATTAAGAGGTGGAATATTTTCAAATCTATAATCTATTTAACTATCCGTTTTTTGAGCTCCGTTCTGTGGCAGATTGTAAAATGGTATCCAAGAAGTCAGGGTTCCGATAGTATTTATTTTGTTGACTAAATATTTCTGAGGAAAGGACTTTATTTAAAACGGGTCATGTCAGATTACTCTAACAAGAAATGCGGCCGCTTTTCTTTTGTGGATGGCCGCTCAATTTCCCGATCCGTGATGGAGTCTTTACTGTTTATAAGCACTAGCAGGAACCCGTCTGACCCTAAAATGGTGTCAAGGCTCAAGAGACTAAAACAATTATTACCTATTTAATTCGCGTTTTTGACACCACTTGTGGTACCAAATTTTGGGCTCTAAAACTCCTATTTCTTGGCCTATTTTTTATTTTTTCATGCTGATTTGGAGGCCATTAAAGCATTTGACCCAGTCAAAAAAGTTTCAGTTGTATATCTTTGACGGTTTTTGCAGAAATTCGCGTTAAAGTTGATGCTGTGGTGTCAGTAAAATGGCACGGATAAATAAATATATATATATATATATATCGTCTCGCTTTATATATAGTAAGATGCAGATATGGCAGAGTGACAGGCCGAGCGCCGCCCAGTTGATATAATTCCATATTGAATTTGAAAATCGTGTATATTTCTATGTAACCATATGTTTATTGTTTATGCAACCTGACACGGATATGTGCAAAATAGTAATACTAACTCAAAATAATAATAATATGCTATCAATTAGTCCCTAGCGGGATGCGTATATGGTGAAATTAACAATGTACTTGAACATTTCAGCACCGCGCGCCAACAATTGTTTAATTCAGATTTTCGCACAAAATAACTTTGCGCAGGCAGTCACGTGGGCGACCCGTACGCAGGCACGCACGGTGGTCGGTCGCACGGTCGCAAAGCTACCATATCCCAAAAAAAACCTCGATCGCTAACCCTTGTCCTTGACTCTTTTGTGCCTTCGGCACTTTGAGTCATGGATCGGGAAAAAATAGTAGTTAGTAAGAATCTGATTCTGGGTTTGGGTAAGAGTTGGAAATATATAATATATGGGGTAGGGTGTTGTGATGCAAGATTAGGTGAATGGAGATATCTGCTAGAGTAATTTTACTTTACTACAAGACGTATAATAGCAAATCACTAAGAACTATATCATGTCAGCAGTTATTATATTACTAAAAATATAATGTATTTTTAAACGCATAACTAAAACACTTTGGGTAGGTATGATACAGAGTTTTAGAAGAGAAAAAAAAAGAATACGTAGGACAAAAAGAAATATTTGTTATAATCAAATATATATAATATAGAAAGTTGTAATCTTTTGATGATATTTTAACCCAGGTTCACTGGGAGCTTGTGTTAAAGTTAACTCAGAAATAACCACAACTTCTTGTCTTATTGTACTAGATGTATTATGTTTGAACAATCAAGAGATTTTAAAACATCCCATTGATCTCGATTCTCGACGATAAAGCATTACGTTAGTTCCTGAACGTGTCCAAAAGTAGCTATTAGCCGAATTCACAATACATCCACGGTTTTGTATTCAATAAATCAATCTTCCAAAAACGAAAGTATATCTAAAAAAAGTGCTACTCAAATGCACTCAATTATCAACTCGATATCATTCGTGAGTTAGTTTACAGCATTATAATATACATAACTTAAAAGTGCCTAATTCTCCAGTAGTTCACTTTTTCAGGCGTATCCTAATCTTGGGCATCACCGCGTCTATATTTCTCTCAGTCTTACTTTCATCGTCTGCTTTCCTTTTTGCTGATCTCCTCTTCTTCGCTTCTTCCTCAGCTGCAAAGTTCACATTTGAGCTGATCGGAATTTGAAGTTTCGTCAAGATATCTTATATAAATCATTATTCAAATTCAGTAATCCATTGAAACTCTTCAAGCCATGGACCAACTATTGTACAGTAAACTCAGTGGCCACGTGACTGATATTTGATACAAGAGAAACGCTATTTTCGGACGTGAGGAGAGTTAGGACTCCTCCAACTACAATAAATCAATTCCTTCTGTAACGTCCTGAATAAATATAGTTACGAAAACAAAATTGACTTAACATTTTAAAACATTACTGTTACATACCTGCCTTTAAACGCTCCTGCTTTTCATAGCTGCTGCCGTCGTGTTCGTCCGCTGAAAGTGAGCAGTGTAATACTCTGAACTTAGGTAATAAATAGATTAGATAACTTCAACTTTGAAAAATAAAATATTACAAACTTAAAAATATTTAGCGCATTTGTTGAAATATTTAGGATATCACCATCAAAAATCTAAGGGTTTTTAATGAATAAAAGATGCAACAACAAGCCAAAAAACGTAGGAAAAAAATCAATACCGTAATTTAAGAGAAGATTCCAAATGCTGCTCTTCGGCATAAAATCTCACAACTGTTCACAAAGAAGAGTCAATAGAGTTTGTCTACCAAGCTATCTTACACTGAGGGAGGGAATATCAAATAGACTGTATACAGAGTCGAAAGGATTAAGGTAAACTTTTATTGACTGTGTGAGGGAATATGGGAATATAGAATTAACTTTCTGAGTCGAGGGAATATTATGCAGGCAGGTTTACTTTATACTGGATGAAGTAATACAGAGTAACCTCAATCAACACAACGTTTAGTCGTAGAGAGTTGTATAATATAGAAACTTATAAGACAATTAAGCGTGCTTGAAGATAGATCGCTTTGTCGGAGAGTAGATCTGAGAAAAACTAAAACTTGGCAAGCTTCCAACCTAGATAAGCAGAGTAATCAGCTGAATTGTACCTGGACGTAAGTAGTTGAGAGGCAATGTCTGGGGCTAGTCCACGTGACCTTATAAGGTTATCACGTGACCTTATAAGGTAGTCACGTGGTTCAGTGAGGTCAATAAATGCAGGTGTGCGGGACTGTGACCTGGTCTTTTTGCCGGGTTCTCTCACTACATCTGTCTGCAATTAGCTGTGAAATGTGGTTAGCCCGAGATCATCAGAATTTACTTAATCCTTTAATCACGATTCGGAATGAGAGCAAAACGAAATGAATTTTAAATGAGCTCATATTACTTTATTAGTTCAACACGAGAAATTATGCACTGTAGAGTTGGTACCATGAGGTTATACGGGGTATATTCTAATAAGGTCACGTGGTCAATTAGTGTAACTATTCACATTGCACAGCAAGATAGTGAGTGGTAACTGTAGCTGTGGCAACTGTGGTTAGTGGTAACTGTGGTAACTGTGCCATTATCCATAACAATAACAAACTCTGCTCTAACATTAAGGAAACATGATGGAATTTAAATAAATACAGTTTGTTAAACCGATGAGTTTCCTAAATAATTAAAAGTGCACGCCACTTGTTTCTTTTCACGGCAAGTTTGATAAGTTCCTCCACATTTCTTAAGCTTAAATCTCTAGAATTAAGGTTGGATTAATTAGTTGAATGAATTACTCTGATGCCGACCTTTTCTACTCTAAAACTCATTAGTCATAAAATTAATCTAAATTTCAAGACTTAAAGAGTACGGAACGGCAATCAATAAAAAACGGCTACTACTACAAAACGGCTACTACTAAAAAACAGCTAGTACTATAATAATACAAAACGGCTACTACTACAAAACGGCTACTACTAAAAAACGGCTATTACTACAAAACGGATACTACTACAAAACAGCAAGTACTATTATAATACAAAACGGCTACTACTACAAAACGGCTACTACTAAAAAACGGCTACTACTACAAAACAGCTACTACTACAAAACGGCTACTACTACAAAACGGCTACTTATACTACTACAAAACAGCTACTAGTACTACAAAACGGCTACTACTACAAAACGGCTACTACTACAAAACGGCTACTACTACAAAACGGCTACTACTACAAAACGGCTACTACTACAAAACGGCTACTACTACAAAACGGCTACTACTACAAAACAGCTACTACTACAAAACGACTACTACTACAAAACAGCTACTACTATAAAACGGCTACTACTACAAAACAGCTACTACTATAAAACGACTACTACTACAAAACGGCTACTACTACAAAACGGCTACTACTACAAAACGACTACTACTACAAAACAGTTACAGTTATTACTACAAAACGGCTACTACTACAAAACGGCTACTACTACAAAACAGCTACTACTACAAAACGGCTACTACTACAAAACGGCTACTTATACTACTACAAAACAGCTACTAGTACTACAAAACGACTACTACTACAAAACAGCTACTACTACAAAACAGCTACTACTACAAAACGGCTACTACTACAAAACAGCTACTACTACAAAACGGCTACTACTACAAAACGGCTACTACTACAAAACGACTACTACTACAAAACAGCTATTACTACAAAACGGCTACTACTAACTAACGGCTACTATACTAGAAAATAAGAAAATGACAAGAATGTTAAGTAACAAAAGAACAGCACGAGGAAAGCAGCTATTGAACTCAACTGTTACAAAGCCTCGTAGATAGATACATGGAATTGGAGTGTATCATGTAATGTTTAAGGAATTACAATCATCACTTCAGCAGCCTGAACCTCATGATGATAATATGCTAATATCAGTTATATTGTGCAATAATAGAAATAATCCAGAGCTCCAATTTTGAATAAACAGTTGGAGCTGTAAGTATAAGTCCACGTGTCCCACGAGATGAGCAACAAGAGCAAAGTACGAAAACCTCCGTATCCATTAGCGACTGTGGTGCTCACTTTGGTGCTCACTTTGGTGCTCACTTTGGTGCTCACTTTGATGCTCACTGTAGTGCTCACTTTGGTGCTCACTGTGGTGCTCACTGTGGTGCTCACTGTGGTGCTCACTGTGGTGCTCACTGTGGTGCTCACTGTGGTGCTCACTGTGGTGCTCACTGTGGTGCTCACTGTGGTGCTCACTGTGGTGCTCACTGTGGTGCTCACTGTGGTGCTCACTGTAATGCTCACTGGGGTGCTCACTGTAGTGCTCACGAAGGTGCTCACTGTGGTGCTCACTGTGGTGCTCACTGTGGTGCTCACTGTGGTGCTCACTGTGGTGCTCACTGTGGTGCTCACTGTGGTGCTCACTGTGGTGCTCACTGTGGTGCTTACTGTGGTGCTCACTTTGGTGCTCACTTTGGTGCTCACTGTAGTGCTCACTTTGGTGCTCACTCTGGTGCTCAGATCACTCTCGCGAGCACCTTATTTCCCCAGGCACCCCTATATAATACACATCAGATTATACCTTTTTATTACAACTCATTTAAACAACCAAGACGTGAGAAAAATTAAAGTCTTGAAACTCGTACAATGTAAGGGGCAGTCCTCTTGATAAAACATGAACTAAAAGAGTAGAGTGAATAGAACTGGCATCTAATGACCTGCCCCTAAAATCCCTCATTACGACACACCACCTGTTATACCGCTTTAACTAACGTATCACGTGACTACCATAACCAGTCACGTGACTAACTAACTAGTATGACACGTGCCAGGGCGTTATGCCAGACTACAGCCATTATTTTCGCATTACAATCCACCGGCCCGGGACTAGCCTAGTTTCGTTACCTAGTTACCGGGACGCGTAACCTGGTTGCGTATCTGGATATGGATTAGGAGATTAGGGCGGGCTGTGGAGATCACACATAATGAGGGGGAATTAGGAGGGAATTAGGAGGAACGCTTAACCGGAGTAGTGATATGATGATAAGACTGCAGCTGATGTAAAGATCAGATGCTTACAACAGCTGTACATGAAAAAAGAAGGAATGTTGAAGTAAGTTGACATTGTAAAGGTAAGAAATATAAACAACGTCGTGTGGGGAGTCAGTGAGAAGTAAGATAAGACCTGAAATTGTGCAACAGATTAGCAGGTACTTAACACATAGCACTTTACTGTAGACTAATTTTATTTAACATGGGCTCTCCTAGTCCTACCGTTTTGAAACGTTACATCTATCAATGAGTTCAATTACTTAAATTGCTTACAATTTGCTGAATTTGAATTTTAATAACTCGCATAAAAGGTCACGAAATTTGGGCTCTCTTTTCTAAGGGTGTTTTCAGATGATGTAGAAAAATATTTCAATTCAACGTTGTTTGCATCTATTTGTAAGCGACGAAAAATTTAGCACTAATTGCTTACAATTTGGTGACTTTAAACTTTAATAACTCGAATGATAGGTCATGAAATGTGGGCCCTCTTTTCTATAGAAGGGCGTCTTCAGACGTTATTAGAGAGTGATAGAGAGTCAAGTGCGTCGGCAAATTTTCTTAATTGAACGTTTATGAACTCGAATGAACTTCAACAATAGATAAAGAAGTCAACCCCTGGCTCCATAATAATATGAATGACTTGATTTAATTCTAAATGAAAAGCTCGAATTTAGAATGTTAATTTGCCAACTTTGCGATTTAGATTAATATTTAATAAGTTCCGTGCTTGCCAAAAATCAGGATGTCAGTTTACAGGACGATGGCATAACAATCACTAAATCCAGACAGATTGAATACCAAAGGCCACCAAATACAAGGGACCACAGCTACAGCCCCTTATTACATCCGGTCACGTTTGACTGGAAATGCAGTGGCATTCAGTTTAGCAGCGGCTTAGGCAATAAACTTTGTAAAAGCTTTCATATATAAATTTGTTAAAATAGTCATGGTTTTCATATATTCGTAAGGGACGAAAATCTTATTACTGGTAAGAAAAACTCAAGAAATTAACGACAAAGTTTTAAGACAATGTGACAGTAAACACGGCATCACGTGATATCACAGCATCATGTGACAGTAAACACGGTTTACAGTGCACAGTTCTCAGGCTAATTTCTTATTTTAAACCTCATTACATACCGACTTGTTGAAATCCTGTGAAACTCAGTTTGAAACTGCAGTTAATAACAATTCCACTAACTCAAAACACACAAAGCGTTTTCAACACTGGTTTAAAGAGGCAGGTTTGAACATTCCTAATTTCCGAAACTTTGACAGTTTGCCAGTTTATATCTGAGTTCCGCTAAATAGCGTACAAGGTTTAAAGAAAGGGTCATTTTAATTCTGTTGAACTTGTTTGTCAGTGGCGCACCATGGAAATATGGAAACACAAATAAAGATGTCTCTGTACAAAATCTATACTGTTATCTATGAACGCCGAAATATTTATAATAGCAATGGCATAGGTTAACATTTCATCGTGCAAATACAGGAAACAAATTTGTAAAAAAAAAAATATTGCATCAATTTGCTCATGATCAAATTACTCTGCAAATAAATGTATAAATAGGTAGGAAAATTGAGAATATGGTGAACTTAAGTGAGCGATTGAATGCAATCTATAGGTACCTGAAATACGAGCGGCTTTTAAAGAGTTGTAAGATTCTGAAGGATAAAGCACGGACGCTTTCCCAAAATATTGTTGAAACCAGAAATAATACACGCATGAACCAACGAAAATGTAAATCTTGTTTATTATTTTACCTTCAAGAATAAGAGAGGAAAGCGAAAAACAACGAAATATCATTGTGGTTTTGTGAGGAGTACTGTATGTGAATTTGATAGTTTATTTTATTCGGAAGGAAATATGCAGTTCACAGTTGTGATAGGAAGGAATTCATTGTTCCTAAATGAATTCTTAAGACGTTCACGATAATATACAATGATCTCATTCTCAGTAAGATAATTGAATTAATAGTTGGCACTGCTACTCTGTAACATTGAACCATCTTCAATCTCCAGACATATAATGTCTAGGAATCTGGGAACTGTTCATACACCTATGATGATTGATAAGATAAGGTTTACTGCGGTTCTCACGATACACAATGACGTCGTAGCAGCTGATCAACGCGAATATAATAATGTCATATGTGTCATGACAAGACAATATTATCAGCTGAGAATGGATAATTCTGAAGGGACTATGTTAAACTAGGAAAAAACTCAATACAACTAAATATCAACAACACGACACGCAGGCAGTCTCGTTTTTATTAATAAATGGGAAATTCAATTCTTTAAACTCGTATGTGTTAAGTTTTAAAGAGTGTATAAAGGAACATCAAAGCATTATAGCCTACACGTATGTCAGGTATAATGGGACCCTGACTAAAGTACTGGTGACAACCTACGGTAATTGGTCTGAGATATTTGTTAATGAGTCAGCGTCGAGTAATATCTGGCGGCTGGCATTACCCAGCGTCGGGTAATATCTGGCATTACCTAGACGCTGGCTAAGGTTGTAGTCTTATTTGTTAACAGTTTTTAGACGTAATAGTCGGAGTACTGTGAAGTTTAGCAGATGTACATTGTACATTGTACATTGTACATTGTACATAGTGTTCAGTGTCTAAGACTAACTATTAGCCCGTGGAGTCTGAACACTTACGAAATGACTCAAAAGGGTACCTCCTTTCTCATTATGCAAAACTGATATCTTTTGGCAAGAAGGATATCATAATATCTCGCATATTAACGGTATCAATAAATCAATGAACGGACAAATATAAAGTTGAGTACGCGAACAAAACTCAAGGGCAAATAAGCGTAATCCAAAAAGTGACAAGTATCGATGTTGACTGGTTAAGTGGTCGAGTGGTCGAGTGGTGAGTGTAGTCTGTACCATGCAGCTGTAACTATCTTAAACATGCTGTTCAATGGAACGCTAAGAGTCATAGATGGTAGATACATTAAAGTATCCTACATTTTGGTAGTCAGGTAAAATTATAATAGAAAGACTTTAAATATAACATCACTTAAAATGAGCGAGTCCTTGAATAAGATATCGATAGGGGCCTCACATTATTTTAAGAAGAACAAAAGTAAAAAATGTTTAAGACAACATCTTTCCTTGTGTTTGGAATAAGTCAATCCTTACATTGCATTAACACAACACAGTATGAGGCTGAGATCTCACTAATATTTGTAAAACAAAAAGTGGCATAACTTATGTTCTGATAAATATTTTTGCTTCTAAATTTCACAGAATGTTAATAACAAGTATCTAAACCTTTGTGGCAAGTTTTGTGTGATTGCGAGCTTCACTGAGCTTATTTGACCAATTTAGCCCCTGAGCGAGCTAGCTTGAATTTCTTACCCAGAACTGTTTACATTGGTTAATAGAAACCACCAAAAAAAATCCTGGGTAACAAAATTAAAAAACCAGCGATTTATTCACGTTTTACCAATTCTATTCACATGGATCCATCGCACATTCCATTCTCTCTATATTTTAACTGATAAGGACTATCACAGATGATCCTTCCTGCTTGTTTATAGGGGCCTTTTGAGGCCCACCCTGTATAACAACAAAGTCGGTGCGATTATAAACTAATTACACTGGTTATAACATCAGAGGCGTGGAGTTATACGTGAATCTAACTGCATGTATAATACGATTACACCAGTTATTGCACTCGGCTGCGCCTCGTGAAATAACTGCAATAATCGAACTCGGCTTCGCCTCGTGCGATTATTGTATCAATTTCCACTCGGCTGCGCCTCGTGCAATTAATAGTGTAATCGCATTATACGCAGTTAGATTAGCGTATAGTACTTGCTAATTAGTATTTACTAGTAAGTATTTACTAATTAGTATTTACTAGTAAGTATTTACTAGTAAGTATTTACTAGTAAGTATTTACTAGTAAGTATTTACTAATTAGTATTTACTAATAATAATCATACCACGTGACATAACCATCACACCACGTGACTCTGTGAAGTGGTATTTGTCTGGAGAGTACAGTTTTACCACGCTACAGTTCTAGTTACCACTACACAGTACCTACTACTTTTATAGGTGGGGTTCTAATTTAATTCCACGCCTTTGCATATCAATAGATTCTCAATTAAATCTGCAATTTAATCCAGCTGCAGCACCTCTACACAGGTGTGCAGTGTGCACGCTGCAAAGTTATTGTTAATACCTGCAAAGTTATTACTAATACCTGCACTCTGCAGTCTGCAGTAAAGTGGGATAGTAAACTACCATCATAACATCATACCGTCCAGTCAGTGTATTCCACAACTTTAATACTGTCCAGTCAGTGTATTCCACAACTTTTATACTGTCCAGCAACTGCTTTATTCAGGCTGTTAACGTTAGATCAGACTGGCGAGACTTTAGCACAGCAACAACAAAAGTGCTCTCGAATGAATGTTGAATATTATATATATATAATATTTGTTTAGTCTGATATGTTCATAAGCCTCAGAGTCTAGATCCCTGGTAACTTTAGAAACATTCCAACCAATATTTAAAACATTCCGACTATTAAAAACATGTCGACTTCACTCAATTTCAAACATCACATATTTTGACGAATAAACAAGTCGTAATTAAGTTGTCACTGAATGACTGTTAATGTGAGATATTAACTTACTAATAAATGAACTGTTGCAGGGAGGAGCGGACCACAGAGCTCCTATAATAATATCTGCAGTTCATCCCGGAAAACCAGCTGACAGGTACGTGTCTTTACTCCTGACAGGAACGTTCCTTTACTCCTGACAGGCACGTGTCTTTACCCCTGAGGGAATAAGGGTAAGGGTAAGCGTAAGGGTTAGGCCAGGGGTTCACTGTTCAGTCAGGGACACTGAAAGATACCTCATCTTTTGAGAGGGTTTCAATTCAAACTTAAAGTTGTAACTTAAAGTTGCAATATTTTCAAAATCCAACGAGTTGGTTAACACTGGTCAGTACCTATCACAGGGTTTGTCCCAGTAATACTGACTATTGGGTAATACTGAGTATTGGGTAATACCCAATTTTAATGTATAATAATTACATTAACACTCCTAACACGTGGTCTATGTGCAGGTTTGGAGGGTTGTATGTTGGTGATGCTATCGTGGTGTGTAACAGGTCAGGATCTCCGCACAATGTCGCACTCAGATGCAGTGCAGTGGCTCAGTGCCTGCGGGGACGAACTCGTTCTCAAGGTGGCTGCTATTATATGCTCTTCTTTCTTTTGATTCATTTCATAGAGATCGACAACAGACTCCGAGAGTCTTGAAGCTTTATTATCTGTTATTACATTGTCTGTTAATGGATGGAGTCCATCCGATGACTTGATCTTCAAATGTTGTCGAACTGAAGTCATCAAATAAGTAGTGAATAGGGCGGTAGTCTCGTTGTGATTCTTGATAAACCTGTGTCTTGAATTGTAACACAGTTTTTAAACCAGATATTTTATTCCACTGTAACCGAGTTCTGTCTCCAGGTAGCGCACATAGCAGGGTACGATGACGAACACCACTTGGAGAAAGCCCCTATATTGGAGATAGACCCCATACCAGAAGAGCGACCGAAGTCTCAGGGTATTCAGAAATATCAGGTACAATCCCTGGCTTAGTGCCAACTTCCTGTTAACGCTGGCTTAATGCCAAGTTGTGTGTCTCAATTCCCAACCCCCCGCGAAATATGGCGCCCAACATACCCACCACTCAGCCTACTAACTCTACAGTTATGAGATAAAAAGAGTAATATAACAACAATGTATTTTTAGCAATCTGTGGAGAACAATCCGTTAACTGGTCATGGTCCTCACACTGTTCTGATTAACTTAATATTGATATTTATCACTCAGTGAGCCCCCTGTAATCTCGATCCTATTTTGCCGATAGCTATCCTTACCTTTCATTATTGAGTCTATAGACTACTAATTTCCCAAATAACTAATTAACTAATTACAATCTTATTACCTAATTACCTCCCAATTACCGCCCAATTACCACCCAGGTTGGTAAGTTCCCCCGAGAGAACACACTAGGAGAGCGCAGTAGTCAGCTAAACGGAGACACTGTGAACGTGAAGGGGGCTCCTGTACTGGAGAATGTGCTGAGTACTAGGAACACAGTTAAAATGGTGAACGCTAACTCTATCAGCAACATGACTGGTTAGGACTGAGTTGTTTAGATTTGGGGAAGGGTGGGAAATGGGGGAGGGAGGGGTAGGACTTCAAGTTTCCAGATCTTTAGATGTCGAAAGATGACATTTCATAGGATCATATTAATTTGAGTGCAATTTGTTACAGTTATTGCTAACTGGCATCACCTGTTCTGTTATTCTATAATCTGAGTTTACCACTTTAACATGTTATCTGTTCATCTCCAGGTACAAATATAACGGAGCCAGCTAAATCGTTTGATTATTACTACAACGGAGGGGAGAAGGAGGAGGAGGACGTTCAAAATACTATTCTGGTTAGGAACTTTATTGTGTGTAGTGTAAACTTGTAACTTAGAATGAGATAACATTACTGTTAAGGTTTTGGTGTAAGGTTACGTTATACGTATCAAGTTTAAAATCTTAAAGTTGTTAAACTCTCTGAGATAAAGAGATACATTTTTGACAAGTTAAAAGTCGTGAACTCTTTTAAATAAAGGAACTTAAACACATTTAAGTTTCATTTCAGCTTGCCTAGAATTAATTAAGATTTGAGATCTTTATTCAGTAATATCCGACATATAATTAATATAAGTCTCTCCAGCTTGTATAACTTATTAGCTAACCCTCACACGTCCCCCAGATATCAATGCCTCCCAACTTCACCGCCCCCACCATCCCTCCCGGCCCTGTGTTAGAGAGCGAGGAGGTGAACCTGACTGATACTATTGTAACGGGGGTGCGCGCACTGGACATCAAGAACGACAACGTGTCTTATACTGCTGACCCAGGTGACATTGTGTCTGATGTGACTGTAGTGAGTAATGGGAAGACATCACCTCCAGCGTGTGAGGATGTGGTTAGTGTCGGTGAGAACGGCTCTTAGTTTGGAGAGATACTGTTTATAATTTAGCGAAGGTCGACTGTGTGTGTTTGGTGCAAGGACAGGTTTCTATCTATTATGGAATGGTGTCTTGTAAGATAAGATGTTGAGCAGAGCTATTATATGACTTATGTCGTGACTTAACAACTTGGGTGTGACTGTGAAAAGGACTGTGTTGCTAACCTATTTAAGAAAACACCGTTCCTTAAATGAATAATATGTTAATGCCACATATTTGTTTAAAAGTTTAAGTTGATGAATTATATTTGTGTTTTATCATTGCAAAATGGTTAAATTCCGAGGAAATCTTATTTGACGTAACTAACTTTTAATTATTTTTCAAACTTTAAATTATTTCTGCGTGAAAATTCTTTAAAAATGAACGAACCAGTAAAATTGCTGATTTGTCAATTGTTCCGGTGTTTACAATCTTATAATTATTTTACTTTGATGTTTTTGTGAATTTCGTTTCGAGAATATTTACTGGTTTTCCCGATGTTTTCTCTTATTTTAGTTCTAGAACACAATTTAAGGATATCATTGCAGTAGAGTACAGTACTTTACCAGTTAGAGTGATATTTCTAACCATTTCTAGTTAGTAATATTGGATATAATTTTACTTTACAGGTAAACAAGTTCATGAGTATTTAGCATGATGTTTTCATGTTTTTTCAGTAATTAACTACATTTTTCAGTAATTAACAGTATTTTATCAGCGAAAATTTTCAATTTTTTCTTGTTTTCAACTTGTAGTCCGAAGTAAGAAAATTAAAAATAGGAAAGTTTTTAATTTGGGATTAGTGATTAGTATGATACGTTTGTTAGTACTTGATATTGTTTACAGATGAACTTCAATACTTTAATCGTTTAACTGTTCTCAGCATGGAATAGTAAATCATAACAAAAAACATGTGAAATTATAGTACTTAGTTAAATCTTAATCAGAGGATACTTTCATAATATTGGACTACAATCCACAAAACCATGAACCATTATCCTGGCACTTCAAAACGAAGATTTTACCAACGACCAGTTGCCTCATAAAAAAAAACAAGTCCTTGAGAGTATTAAATGTAATATCTGCATACTTGCTGCCTGACTTGCATTCATTATCTTGAATCGAGTGTTTGTTGTGTTGAATTATACAGTCGGTGTCTAAATACAGCACCTTATAATACATTGTAACACTCAGACAGCTCACTATATCACTTTATATCAATAATTTCTTTCTAATACTAATTACTTACTTTATCAGGAGCATGGCTCCGAAGGTTACAGTACCGTTAGATTTTGGAATAGAGAACCTACACTGTGAGTTTCACGGTAACGTGGTCCTAAAGTTACAAGGAGGAGAGGAAAAGAGAGCAAACTCTCTGATCCTGTCTTACCACAGTTCAGTGTTTGTTCACCTGTTCCTGGAACTACACCAGACAGAGCTAGAGGTGGAGGACTTTGCGGGGGAGGCGGTGAAGAGGTTCCTTGGGGCCCTGTACAGCGGGGAGATCCTGCAGGAGAAACACTTGTTCAGAGATGTTAACAAGCTGTGTCACGTGTTCAACGTAGAGTGGTTAGCAGGGAGGTGTAGGGACTACTTTACCAGCCTGGTGGGTGGGGTGAGTCCCTCCTCTGATTACCAGACTTTGTTGTTCTTGTTTGAGGAGGCCAGGTTTTGTAGCAGGGTCATGAAATGTGACAAGTTTCTAGACCTGATCCTAGAGAAGATTTGTAGTCTGGAGAACAGAGCTGAGATATTTGTTGAGCCCTACATGAGGAATTACTCTGAACTAGAAACTAGCCAACTAGATGTAATGTTGCAGATTACAAGGAGTAATCCTGTTTTCTTGTTGAAGATAATGAAGAAGAATCTGGAGAGTGAGGGAAAGATATTTGATGAAGCTTCTCGTTACCTCTTACAGAATGTAGATCTTTGTAAATGTATTTCTGATGATGATGCTTCTTTTGAGGAGCTATTCGATGTTTTGGATAGTGCTACACAATCCTCTGATTCTGATGCATCATTTGTTAATGTGCTATACAGGCGGTCCACGAGAGAGTTTAAGAAAACGATAAGTTTAAATTCGTCTCTACCATCAAATAATACCATCCCCCCTGCATCTGCACATCTCCTAAGTACATTAGGAGAAATTCCTCACATCTTTTCCTCATTTCAGATATTTCATGGACTGAGTTGTCAGGAATATCTTGAGGCTGCTACAAATTCACCTCTTGTACTGAATTTATACATGCTGATTGAGGGGTTTCCGCTGTGTGATGAAGATATTCCCTATTACATGGAAGATGAAATGCAAATGGTAGATGAAATGGAAATTATTCGTCTCAAGAGAGGATGGAGCAGAATATCACCTGAATTTCTTGATTCGTGGGAGACCGATTATGCAGGATATGCCGCTTCAATAAGACAAAATGGAAATGATCTTACATCTAAGGAAGAGAGTGTTAGACGAGTTGGGAGAGTAGTTGGGCCGGACAAAAAGATATTAAGTTGGAATTCTTATACAGTCAAAGATTTGTTTGAGACTTCTCAATCTTTTGCATTTAATTTTAAGCACCCTAACACTACTAATTGTGATCTTAATGGGAAATGTGGATTCGTTCTAACGTTTACCCCTGAAATGAAGTCAGGAAAACCCCATAAGTTTAAAGTAAACCTTTGTTTAAATCAGGAAGAGTATCCTGAGGGTCTTCATATTCATCCTGATGTTGTGAAAGCTGACAAAATTCATTTGGTGCCCATGTTCGATGTGACAGATTATTCATGTGATGACGAATTTGACGATGATGATCAGCCCGACATGCGATACTCAATAGCTGCTTTTACGTGGAATAATGTCGGTTTGTGTGATTTTTACGCTCATTGTGAAATTGGTAATTGGAATGGAAAACTTTTAGATGTTTTTAAGTTGGCAGCATTTATAACTTTATAAGTTTATGATAGCAGTTAAAGCCTACCTTGAGAGTATAAGTATGTAAGTATATGATGTTATTTATAATGATTCCTTTGAATTGGAATATTTAATTTAAATGACTTGGTATTTCCTGAAACTTAACGAGTTTGCATTTTACGAAATGCTTAGGATTCTATCCTAGCTCCATCTTAATTAGAGGTATACCCTAGGTATATACATTGAGTGAAAAACCAGAGCTCTCTTAAATTGTACACCTAATATGAAGTCTGTATAACACTGGAATATCGTTGGAATAGCCTCCAAATAGATATAATTTTAATGGATTCTTTTAATTGGTACAGCTCATGGTGAGTTTAATATCAAGAGTGTAATTTAGTTGTAGAACATATGTCTTGATGTAAGAACTTCAAGAGTATCTGAATTTGATTTTATTTCTTTCATTTTAAACAGATTATCTGAAGCAGTTTATATTAAATCTAAATTTGTCTAGATCTCTAACTTCGCTTTAATTTCTTCGTTTTAAAGAAATCATATTTTCAATCGATTTAGATTGACCAATTTAACCTTTTTATTTAATTATTTGTAACCTTGTTGCATGGTTAGAAAATATCTAAAACTGTTAAACTTGTTGCCTGAGCTGCACAAACTCTAATGTTTCCCGACGTTTGTTCTAATTTTGATCCCGGTAAACATGCAAGCGATATTAAAATATCATTGTCAAGATGCAGTCAATTACTTCTCAGCTCAGTTCACAGTTTATGTAGATATTTCTAGAACCTTGTCTACGTAGTTAGTTATTTAATCTATTTTTTAGAATTAAAAAGAAAGGACATTGATAAATAGCATAATGTGTTCATGTATGTTTTTACAGTAAATAATATAAAATGCAGATGAACTTAAATTCTTTTAACAATAGTTTGACTGCTTAGGTAATACCCTAATAGGTAATATAATATAATTAATAATAATACATCTAGGACCACCCAAGTTATCTCCTTCTTTGAAGTTTTACTTAAAACACTAATGTACATTCTTCAGGTAGGTTGCAATCAAACTTTAAAACTTGTTCAGATAACACTATAACAGGGTAGACCACCAAGACATTTATTATAAGTCTATTTCCTTTTAAATTAAGAGTTTTCTATGACAGTGATAAACCTATATTCAACGTATCCATCCGCTTATTATTTTAGACAATATACAGTCCGTATCTAGTAACAGCACCTTATAATACACTCAGACAGCTCACTATTGTATAATATCAAGAATATCTGTATAATTCTTTTACTAATCAGTTACTTTATCAGGAGCATGGCTCCGAAGGTGACAGTACCGTTAGATTTTGGAATAGAGAACCTACACTGTGAGTTTCACGGTAATGTGGTCCTAAAGTTACAAGGAGGAGAGGAAAAGAGAGCAAACTCCCTGATCCTGTCTTACCACAGTTCAGTGTTTGTTCACCTGTTCCTGGAACTACACCAGACAGAGCTAGAGGTGGAGGACTTTGCGGGGGAGGCGGTGAAGAGTTTCCTGGGGGCCCTGTACAGCGGGGAGATCCTGCCGGAGAAACACTTGTTCAGAGATGTTAACAAGCTGTGTCACGTGTTCAAAGTAGAGTGGTTAGCAGGGAGGTGTGGGGACTATTATACCAGCCTGGTGGGTGGGGTGAGTTCCTCCTCGGATTACCAGACTTTGTTGTTCTTGTTTGAGGAGGCCAGGTTTTGTAGCAGGGTAATGAAATGTGACAAGTTTCTAGACCTGGTCCTAGAGAAGATTTGTAGTCTGGAGAACAGAGCTGAGATATTTGCTGAGCCCTACATGAGGAATTACTCTGAACTAGAAACTAATCAACTAGATTTAATGTTGCAGATTACAAGAAGTAATCCTGTTTTCTTGGTGAAGATAATTAAAAAGAATCTGGAGAGTAAGGAAAAGATGTTTGATGAAGCTTCTCGTTACCTCTTACAGAATGTTGATCTTTGTAAATGTATTTCTGAAGATGATGCGTCTTTCGAGGAGCTGTTTGATGTTTTGGATAGTGCTACACAATCATCTGATTCTAATGCATCATTTGTTAATGTGCTATACAGGCGATCCACTAGAGAGTTTAAGAAAACTATTAGTTTAAATTCCTCTCTGCCATCAAATAATACCATCGTGCCTGGCCCTGCATCTGCAGTGCCTCCCCAAAGTACAACAGAAATTCCTCACATCTTTTGCTCATTTGAGAGATTTCGTGGACTGAGTGTCCAGGAATATTTTGATGCTGCTAAAAATTCACCTCTTGTACTAAATTTGTACATGCTGATTGAAGGGTTAGTGTTGTGCCGTGGTATTGTTACTCCTGACATGGTACACATGAAATGGAGATTATTCGTCGCAAGAGAGGATGGAGCAGTATATCACCTAAATTTCTTGAAAAGTGGGCTCCAAAAGTCTTAGTAGGTGCCGCTATAATAAGAGAAAATAGCATTGATTTTACATCTAAGGGACAGAGTGTTAGACGAGTTGGAAGAGTAGTTGGGCCGGACAAAAAGATATTAAGCTGGAATTCTTGTACAGTTAAAGATTTGTTCTTGACCCCTCAATTTTATGCTTTCAATTTCAAGCACCCTGACACTGTTTGCCATCTTCCCGGAAAATGTGGGTTCGTTCTAAAGTTTACCCCCAATTTGAAGTCTGGGCAACCCCACAAGTTCAAAGTAGACATTTGTTTTGACCAGGAAGAATATCCTGAGGGACTTCATATTCATCCGGAGGTTGTGAAAGCTGAAAAAATTCATTTAGTGCCTATGTTCGAGATGACAGATTTAAATCCATTTTACACATGTTATGATCCTGACCAAGAATATGATCAGCCCGACATGCGATACTCTGTAGCTGCTTTTACGTGGAATTATGTCGGTTTATTATCGTCGGAAGATGATGAACTTGATGAAATTGGTAATTGGACTGGAGAACCATTATTAGATGCTTTTAAGTTGGCAGCATTTACAACTTTATAAGTTTATGATAGCAGTTAAATACCTTGAGAGTATAGGATGTGATTCATAATGATTCCTTTGAATTGGGATATTTAATTTAACCTAAAGTAAGCAATTTATGTTTTAAATGACTTGGTATTTCGTGGAACTAAACGAATTTGCATTTTACCTAATACTTTAATTTCGACCCTAGCTCTTAATTAGAGGTATACAATAGGTATAAAATAGGTATATATTGAGTGAAAACCCAGAGCTCTCTTAAAATGTATACCTGATATGAAGTCTGGTTTAGACCTCTAATTTTTTCCCGATCCATGACTCAAAGTGCCGAAGGCACAAAAGAGTCAAGGACAAGGGTTAGCGATCGAGGTTTTTTGTTGTTGTTTTTTTTTTTTGTTTTTTTTTTGTTTTTTTTTAATTTTATTTTTTTTGTTTTTTTTATAAATTAAAATATGCAACCTACTAAAACCAATGGAGCCCTCCTCGGGGTCATTCCTCTCGCATTTGCGAAAGTCGTCCCGAAGGTGCAAAAGGAGGTCAGGATTTGTTCCCGCCAAGCTCTTGCATCGCTAATTGTTGACCATCGGCCTTCACTGAATGTAAGTTTTTTAGAGTGGAGGCCAACCGTCAGCCTGGGATGCAGGGCCAAGCGGGAAACAACGTCAAGGCCCCTTTCCACTTGGGCCATGTTGGTTTTGGCAGATACTGTGGTAATAAAATATGAAGTGAATGAGTGAAATGAAGTGAGTGAAAAGGGTGTAAGAGAGGTTTTTTGTTGTTGATATGGTAGCTTTGCGACCGTGCGTGCGAGCGAGCGTGCGTGCCCGCGCTCCAATATGTCGCCCACGGTCTTAACTAGCCTGCGCAAAGTTATCTTGCGAGATATTCTGAATTAAATAATTGTTGTCGCGCGGCACTGAACTGACCAAATAAACTGTCAATTTCACCATGATGTGTACGTATCCCACTATAATACTAGGCACTTATTGATAGTATATTGTTATTATTGTTAGTATTACTATTTTGCACAGATCCGTGTCACGTTGCATAAACAATAAAGTCAAACAATAAACATACGGTTACCCGATTTTCAAATTCAATATAAAATTAACTGGGTAGCGCTTGGCCTGTCACTCCGCTATATCTGCATGCTTATAAACAGCAAAGACAGGGGACCCAGGTTATATCGAATATAATAAAATAAGCCATCACGGATCGGGAAATTGAGCGGCCATCCACAAAAGAAAAGCGGCCGCATTTCTTGTTTAAAAAGATTATACTTTCAATCGATTTAGATTCACCAATTTAACCTTTTTATTTTGAACCTTGTTGCATAGGTTTATATCAACAATTTCTTTCTAATACTAATAACTATCAGGAGCATGGCTCCGAAGGTGACAGTACCGTTAGATTTTGGAATTGATTTGTAAATTTGTACATTACGATTTATTTTGTATGTTTCTTATTTTCTGACTTTTGATCTTGGTCCTGATTATTTCATTGATAGTAATGTTCAAGTTCTATGTAATATACAATGTATATTAATTGTGTGCAAATATTTCGTTTTATTTCAGAGTCATTTACCCATTATTCTTTTCCTCCATTCCTACAGAAAGTATGTACATAATAATGTAATGATTTTTATTCTATTACATTTTAAAATATATTATCTATCTACAGATTTATTATAGATATGAACAAACCGAGAAAAGCTAAATCAAAAAGAATTTTACCGCTTCCTTTGGATTCGAGTGAAACTAAATGTGGTAGGTGCATTCTATACATTCTTTGTATTCTCAACCGTTTTCGTCATAAGTTGTTCATACCATAAAAATAATGGGTAGATTAACCCCCTCCCTCCTCAGGAATCTGTCTAGATGAGGTAGTGAAGCGTGGTAAGATAGGGCCTTGTTAACCCCCTCCCTCCTCAGGAATCTGTCTAGATGAGTAGTGAAGCGTGGTAAGATAGGACCTTGTTAACCCCCTCCCTCCTCAGGAATCTGTCTAGATGAAGTAGTGAAGCGTGATAAGATAGGGCCTTGTTAAGTGTTAACCCCCTCCCTCCTCAGGAATCTGTCTAGATGAAGTAGTGAAGCGTGGTAAGATAGGGCCTTGTTAACACCCTCCCTCCTCAGGAATCTGTCTAGATGAGGTAGTGAAGCGTGGTAAGATAGGACCTTGTTAACCCCCTCCCTCCTCAGGAATCTGTCTAGATGAGGTAGTGAAGCGTGGTAACTGGTAAGATAGGGCCTTGTTAACCCCCTCCCTCCTCAGGAATTTGTCTAGATGAAGTAGTGAAGCGTGGTAACTGGTAAGATAGGGCCTTGTTAACCCTCTCCCTCCTCAGGAATCTGTCTAGATGAGGTAGTGAAGCGTGGTAACTGGTAAGATAGGACCTTGTTAACCCCCCCCCCCTCCTCAGGAATCTGTCTAGATGAGGTAGCGAGGCGTGGTAAGATAGGGCCTTGTTAACACCCTCCCTCCTCAGGAATCTGTCTAGATGAAGTAGTGAAGCGTGGTAAGATAGGGCCTTGTTCTCATCTTTACTGTTACACATGTCTACTAGAGTGGTCCAAACTTAACAACACTTGTCCACAGTGCAAAGTCATCTTCAGATGTATTTCCAAGGTGAGTCTTCAAGTTTTGTTATGATGCACTATCAGGGTCAGTCTTCTTGGAACTGAGCTGGTGATTTTTAATAATCAATCATGGTCATTTCTCCAACAATTAAAATTTCATAACGCGAACGATTCAAATAATTCCCAATAAAAATCTAAAACAAATTACTTTCATTACTTATTTAAACACATTCTCTGTTCAGATGGACTTCAAAACGGACAAGTTAGAAGAGAAAGTGTTCATAAAAGACAAGACACTTCGCACTGGTCACGTGTCCTCTGAAGAAGAAGACTACTACGTTAACAGCAGTGAGATAGAAGACTCAGACCCGGACTTTATTGACCACACTGATATCCCCAACACTCTGGCTCCTGGCTCTGACTCTGAATCTGATGCTCAGTTCACACAGCGCAAGAGAAGGTGTGATAAGACTCCACCTAGGAAACAGCTCACCAAGAAACGATCTAAAGCGATGATATTCTCAGATTCTGAGAGTGATGAAGATAACGGTGCAGTCCACCAAAAGATAATCAGCTGCTGTCAGTCACCTGACTTATTTGACAAGTCACCTCAGCCGGGAAGGAGTGACAGATCCCCTACTTCTAGTAAACGGAACTGTAGATTTAACCCAGCAGCTGGGAGTAAGCAGCGTCAGACCCTATCTCCTAATAAACACGTTTCTCCTAGATCGTCTAAGAGATCTTGTGTTTCCGCTCCTAAAGTCAGCAAGTTTGTCTTACCTGTGAGAAGTGGTAGAAGTCCTAAACGTAATCTTACCTCCCCTAAACTAAGCAAGAATGCACGCTGGGCGTCCCTAGATCAGAGGGTTAAAAACTTAAAACGTAAGTTTCGTTCCTTTGTTCTCTGTACATTGTAAAAGAGTACTTTCTCTGTATAACGTGTCGATTGTAGAATGTTGGTTTGAGCCATATGGCCCATAGCAACCCTGTTACCATAATAACCTTGTTACCATAACAACACGTCCTGTACATTGTACATTGTACAACTACTTATACAACATCTCCAGGAAAGAGAAAGAATAAGACGAGTGTAAAATCAACAGTAGCTATCAAGACTCTGTCACCTAGCAACAGAACTAGCAAATGGATATCTACACAAAATGGCGTGTCATCCACCAAAAGCGTAGTAAACAAGCAGTTTGAAATGCCCTTCAAAAAGAAGCCACGTAGCCCTGAGAAGTTGTTCGATGATCCAGAGCAATATTTCCAGAGTATCCTTAACAGCGTGACGAATTCTAAAGTTAAATTCTAAAGTTTTCACGACACATTCTTATGTGTTTTCTTTGTATTATTGTGATTATTGTAATTATCTGACACGGATTTTATTACGACATTTATAAACGAGTTATTTCAAAGTTTTCTAAATTATCTTAAAATATTATAGCACAAAGGTAACTTTTGTAGGTTATATTCCTTGTACCTGCTTTCTTAACGTGGTTTTTTAATTGTTTTCTTTTGGATTGAAGGAATAGTGAATATTTCTGTTATTTCTGTTATTATTTCTAGTAAATTCTAACCATTATAAGACATCTGTCATTCGTTTCACCATTTATGATGAATTATTGATGACGTGCGATTAACATTATTTACTTTGTGAACAAATTTTATCTTAATAGTAATTTATAACAATATAAACTTTATCAAGGATATGAAAAGGCGGAAGATAAGCCCAGATTCCTCAGAAAAACGCCCAAAACCCTCCTCAGACGAAGCCACTAACTATCACACACCTAAACGAACTGCCTCAACTCGTCCTAGATTTGTTACTCCCTTTAAAACTCCTCTAAATACGTGTAAACATGAGTCGGGCAGCGTTGAGAGCCCAACTTCTCCTGTTGAAAAAGAGAATCGTTCTGAAGCTGATAAAGTAAGGAAATCAGAGCAGAGCGAGAGTTCATCAGTAGGTTTGGGGCACACTCCTAAATCTAGAGTGGAAACTCCGCGATCTAAAACTGTTCTCAGACGTTTCAATACCCCTTTAAAAGTATTACAACACACTGACACTCCTCAATCACCGATGCAAACATTTCTTGAGAAGAAGAAACTGCAAAAAGAGCTCGATGATAAGGAGAGCTTGCTGAGAAAGTTCAAGCAGTACAGCCGAGCAAAAGAAAATGGAGAGATTGAGAAACTGGAGAGTCTGGTGAAACAGTGGCGAGGTGTCAGTCAGGAGGTTTTGTTGGAAATGTTAAAACATGGTAAAAATAACGAACCATCTCTTTCTCTTGGGTCGGTTCTTCAGAGGTTGAGGGTCAATCCTATTTTGGTCAATTTTGATGCGGAAAACGACGATTTCACAGAATAGCTGTTGTTTAGTCGTGGTTAATCTTGTGAATTACAGTTTCTAATTAAATAAGTGTACATAGTTGATTGTTAAGAGGTTTGAGGTATGTTCCTCATTGCGCTTACTGAAATTTGAAATTGGTCGAAAGCGCCACATGGACGTCCTGGGAGAATCTTTAGTTTACGTGTGGCGCGCCGACAAACCTTTGTGACAAGTGGAAATTTCAGCGCAACGCACGTATCGTTATGTTCATAAAAGCAGTCTGTTATTGGTCAGTGGGTTCGCTGGCAAATGCAAAATCCAGTTACAGAAAGCCTGAAGAAGTTTTTGATCCGTACTTTTGAAAGTAGCGTACCAAGAAGTGGGTTGAGGACCTTTGTCATAATAAGTTCAAGTTACAATATTTGCTTCTATTGTGTTCAGAATTTCTGAGTGTCGTTCACAAAGGATATCATTTTAAACTGACTCACAAGTTGTTCTTTCTTGTCAGTCGTTGTAAACACCGGCAGGGTTGTTGTTGCCCATATTACAACTATATTCGTTGATCAACGTTAGTAAAACATGTGTTATCCGAATTCCCATCTATAGCAGATAAATACCATGGCAGTGGCAACTACTAAAGAAGGGCACCCCTTGGAGCACGAATATACCATATGGTTCGGTTGGAAGAACAGAAACAACAACTTTAAATCTGCCATGGACAAAATAGGGTGCTTCCAAACGGTGGAAGGGTTCTGGGAGTTGTACAGGTATTTTCACTGTTACCTTCGCTATTTTTTATTTCGGTTCGAATTCTCATACACACTCGTATACCATGAGTATCTCTGTTTCTTAAACTGCTATTAGCGTTTTGCTGATTAAATTCGAGAGCTTGATAATGTGCGATTAAAGACGTTTATATATATATTATATAAGGTATTTAAGAGCTTTATCACTATACCACAAAGCATCAAATTTATTCTCCATAGGATAACGATTAACGGTGAATTCGCTACGATAAATCTCGCTACAGATAATTAAATTATGTGGTGGCAGTTTAATCACACAAATCTCACCCCACATCTCTCTATCTCAGTTGGATGAAGCGACCCCATGATTTGAAGCCGTGTGATATCAGCATCTTCCGGAGCGACATTCAGCCGTTCTGGGAGGACGAGGCCAACAAAAGTGGGGGAACTTGGATTGTCAGAATAAAACGACAGTTTGTGTCAAAAACCTGGGAACTTATGGTCTTAGCAATGCTTGGTGAGTTGAAAGTCTTTATGTAATGACGCTTCATTATTATTCAAATTAAGGTTTTTGTGTGCATTTTGTTTTAGTTTTACAACTCCAACTACAGTTTGGTGTATTCTGCTGTGGAAATTTCTCTAGTTTAGTATGATTTGCCGTTTCCAGGAGAACAGTTCATGGTAGGACCGGAGATTTGCGGAGCTCGACTTAGTATGAGACATAATGAAGCTATTTTATCATTGTGGAACAGAAATGCTCAAGATCAGAAAACCTGCTACAGGTTCGTTCACCTTCTAAATTAAGATTTTGGGTCTTAATTTTGGCCCAGGATGATTAAAGCTGCTTCACAATTACTCGACTAATTATCCGAGTTTTTCCCGTTTGAATTATAGCAATTAAGCTTATTTGTTAATTATGGGAAGAATTGTATTGAGGATAATTCTATTTTATTTTTGAGAATCTGTAAAAAGGTAAACTGGAAAAGTATCCCCCTTCAGGATCAGGGACACGCTAAAAAGAGTGCTGCAACTTCCAGACTTCATAAAGTTAGAATACAAAGCACACGCGGAGAGTATGAGAGACAGGTCCAGTTATCAATACACTCACGTCATCACAGACTAGCAAAGTGAAAGCGAAGGTGAAAGAGAAGGATGTAATTGGTGCTAACTAGCATCTTCTTTTGCGTAGCTATTTGATTAGGGTTTAGTTTATGTTATGGGTTCGAGTTTACTGTAGCTTAATTCATTCAAATCTGGCATTTTACTATAGCTATAGTTTTCTTTAACAAGATTGTTTTTAGTTACCTGATTCGTGACAGTAATGGTCGGTTAAATTTGTGAATATAAAAAGTTTATGGAATTTGGATAGCTCCTAACTGACTGACGATCCTGCTTTTATTCAAACACTGTTTGTTGTTTATAAACCCACTACGATCAAACCCAGATTTACAAGTTTTATCGGTTTTTAGGGTTTATTTTAAAATCTCATTAGACATCTGTAATGACTACTGACTAGTTCAGTACAGTGTTAAAAAAGTAACACACTGGTAAATAAGGGTTTGACTCCTGATCCTGTACCCAGAGCTTTTAGAAGCTGACCCGCATCTTGTAACCTAGTAACCTGTTGTAACCTAGTAACCAGTTGTAACCTAGTAACCAGTTGGTAACTTGTAAAAGATCTATTTATTATTCAGCACCTGTTTTGTGTTCAGTGTTAAAGTTGAACAGTTTTGAGGTTTTTATAACGATAATATTTTACCAACACTGCTTCACCTGTAATTATTCGCTTCCTGAAACTAAAACTGATAAAATTTGTATATTATCGGGTTCTGTTAACGTGGTTGATATTTTTCAAAATTATTTTAGAACAGTACGATGTTAATCTTCAAAATATTCAACCGTGCAATTTATCTATATATACAATAAATTAGCAGTAGAGACACTTGACATCCATATCCCCTCACTATAGGCATGTTGTGTCGGAAGTTGCTGGCAAGTGTTCGCTCTGTGAGAAGCGAGCTGATCTACCAGAATGTCAGGACTGGAGCTCATTTTACTTACATTCCTCAGACACCTAACCCCTCCCTCGGTTAGTAAAATCTCTATCTTACGCAGATATGTTACACTTCTAATCGTGCAACATGCGGTCTCACTAGTTCTGCTATGTATGTTATGCTGAATTATTCTCAGAAACATGTTTATCTATGTTCTTACTTTACTTTATTTAGGAGAGACGAGTAAATTGAACATGTTCCAAAGTATCAACAATGCCATGGACATTGCAATGGAAAAGGATCCCAGTACAGGCTAGGAATTGTTTTTACTTTTGAAAATTTAACAAATTTACAAGTGCGTTTGCATTGTGTAGTGTGTAGTACACACTTACAAGACGTGTATCATGTAGAATCGAGCGTCCAAATCTTATTCCCACGCCGGTTCGTCCAGATTATGATAACAATGAAAGGAGAGTTTTCTATCATAAGAAGTTATGATAGAAAACTCCACTCCTTACAAACTAAAAAAGTGTGAGGAAAGTGGACGTTCTCGTTTTATCCTTCTGTGAGGACTCAAGACTTGATCGTTTAAGGTGGAATTTTGAGATCCTCTGCCCGGTTTGAATAACTTCTGAGAGCTTTCTGTTTTATACATGATCTCTGAGGATCCTGCCTCGCAAATATCAAGACGATATTGTGAAGTTCAGGAACTTAGAATCGTCGATAGACCATGTGATGCCCATATAAGGAGATACATTGACTCCACAATTTTCCATAATGACTCCACTGCAAATTTAGCAATGTTGCAGGAAATTTGTTGGCAGTTGGTTGCAGTAATAGATCGGTACAAAATTGTGGTGTTTTAGCCTTTTTCGAATTATATCCGCAACCTTATCTCTTGTTAGTGATATTTAACAAATTATCGGTATGATTCAACAGTTCCAGGAAATATTGCCCTAATTGAAGTTTATTTCTGGGTTTTTAAGGGTTTAAGGGGATAATCAAATTTGGCGACATGGCGTTTTTTAGGCTTATCTCGAGGTATAATTAGAATCTGAAAGCAGCACGGAAGCTTGGGAAGTGTAAGGTTTGAGGAGAGATGTTCCCTGCGATAGACTATAGAGGATAGCAATACAGACGCATTTGGAATGATTTTGGAAATAGGGTATCCATGAAGAAAGATCCTTGATTAGATTGGATTTGTTCGCAATTTTTTTCCCTACTCTTGCCGAAGGCAAAAAGATCGTAGGGAATAAGTAATCGGGTTTGGATATATGAGGTGGCCCGATGGACCTGCGATGATGACAAAAGTCTGCTCCTTCGCAATATAGACCACTCCCCTAGAACTAAGTGTATAGGAAGCGTCTGTTATGCTGCGCGCGACGCTAGCCATGTGTTAATTAATTACAGTGAAATTCCTCCTTCGCAAAGTTATTTTCCGGAATTTTCTGGATTCATTTATTGTTGATGCGCGGCGCTGCATTGAAAAAACGGTTAGAATTATGGGGGCAGGGGAATATTTCTGCACTTATGAGGGAAGCAAGAACTATACAACGACAACTAGCGAGGAGCTCTCGGAAGCAAGAAAAGGATTGTGCGAGAAAATTTGCCAACCTCATGTTTGAAGGGAAAGTCAGCTCTGCGGTGCGCATGTTGTGTGATAACGATAACAAAGGAATACTAGAAATGTCTACAGAGACTATGGACCAGCTATTGAAGAAGCATCCAGAACCAATGCCTATAGTGGAGAATAGTTTACTTTTTGGACCGATCGAGGAAATAGAAGAATCGTTGTTTTATAATATAGACGAGACAATGGTATTTAGGGCGGCAAAATTTACTAACGGTTCTGCTGGACCATCACAAACTGATGCTGATTTTTTTAGATTCATTTTGATGCATAAGAATTTTAAAGAAGAGGGAAAGAAACTGAGAGATGAGATTGCTAAGTTTGCAAGGTTGATCGCGTCAAAACCGTATAATCCTGATCTGTTGGACTCCTACGTTAACAGTAGACTCATCCCGCTTAACAAGTGCCCAGGGGTGAGGCCAATAGGAATAGGGGAAACTTTTAGACGAATAGTGGGAAAATGTTTGAGTTGGGAATTGAAAACAGCGATCCAAGTTGCTGCTGGACCACTGCAGGTTTGTACAGGACTAAAAAGTGGATCGGAAGCGGCAGTACATTACATGCGGGAGCAATTCGAAACAGAATCTGCAGAAGCAGTGATTTTAGTTGACGCCAGTAACGCTTTTAATTCTGTTAACAGACAAGCTCTCTTACACAACGTGAGAGTACTATGCCCGGAGTTGAGCATGATTGCAATCAACATGTACCGGAAACCATGCCGGCTATTTGTTGGGGGAGCTGAAATCCCGAGTCGGGAGGGTACAACCCAGGGCGATAACCTGGCAATGTCGCTTTTTGCCATTGCAAATCTACCAGTACTACGGAAATTAGAAGATCACGAAAAAGTGGCACAAGTATGGTTAGCAGATGACGCCACAGGAGTGGGTACTCTTCACGCACTTTTAGGATGGTGGAAAGATATCATTGAAGAAGGACTTAAGTATGGCTACTTCGTGAACCAGGAGAAATCTTGCTTAATCCTGAAAAATCCCGAACATTTACATACAGCTCAGGAAATATTTTCCGATTGCAATATAGATATCAGAATAGATTGTCAAAGGCATTTAGGAGCTGTGCTGGGGACGCCTGAATTCAAGGATACCTACATTAACAACCTTGTATGTGAGTGGAGTGATATGCTAAAAAAGTTAGTACAGTTTGCCAAATCACAGCCTCAGGCAGCCTACGCTTGTTTTACGCACGGTGTCCGCCACAAATTTACATATTTTATGAGGACACTAGATATCAGCTCTTATATGGGCCCTCTTGACAAAATAATCACTCATGAGCTTATTCCAACTATATTTGGTTGTCCAGTATCTCCTATACACCGAGAGCTTATGTCATTACCATTAAAGAACGGAGGTATGGGAATGCCACAGTTGGAGTATCTAGCGAAAAGAGAACATGCTGCATCGCTTTTGGTAACCCGGGGACTGGTAAATTCCATGAAAGGAAAATCTCTTGCTACAACTGACACGGAATCGAGAGATGAGCTTCAAGATATGTTAAAACAGCGTGTTTTGGAATATAAAGAACAACAAGAGGAGATACTTAAAAAGGTTGACAAGAAGACTGCAAGGATTTTGGAGCAGATTAGCGAACCAGGGAGCTCAAATTGGCTCTCATGTCTACCACTAAGAAAACATGGTTTCGTTCTAAATAAATCTGAATTTAGGGATTCTATCAGATTGCGATACAACTTAGATCTGGATCGTTTACCTTCACACTGTCCATGTGGAAAAACGTTTGATGTGAACCATTCTCTAAATTGCCATCTTGGTGGCTACATCATTATCAGACACAACGAAATTAGGGATTTTTTAGGAGGCTTGTTGAAGACGGTTTGCTCGGACGTGGAAGTTGAACCTCAGCTTCAAGAACTAGAAGGAGAGCAGTTCACGAGGTCTTCGACACTTACGGGTGACCAGGCGAGACCGGATATAAAAGCTCGTGGTTTCTATAGGGCAGGCCAAGTGGCTTTTTTCGATGTTAAGGTAATTAATCCTAATTCTAATTCCTACCTTCAACATTCGACAAAGAAAGTCATGGAGAATGCCGAGAAACAGAAATCCAGATGTTACAACGAAAGGATTTTAAATGTAGAGCACGGATCATTTGCTCCATTAATCTACTCAGTGACGGGGGGCATGGGACCGCAGGCTAAGACGTTCGAGAAACTACTATGCAATAAACTTGCATATAAACAAAAACAGAATTACAACGATATTATTAATTATTATCAGTGTAAGTTATCTTTTTTAATTAGAAAAATGATTTTATTATGTATAAGAGGATCTAGAAAAACCTCAAATAGAACTGTAGAATTATCTAACATGGATGATTTAGAATTTAACTCTTTCGAATCGAAAGTTAATTAATTTTTTCAGTCCCATGGACTGGTTTTTATTTTTGACAATGATGATATTCATTATATATAACCTGTAATACTATTCTGTATATATCTAATTTCGTTTCCCAAAAAAAAAAATTGGTAAAATAAATCGTCAATTTTTACCATGTACGAATCCCACTCATTTATAAAAAACATAGTTATATGTAAATATGGTCACACTTTTCACTCAAAAGAATTAATGGTACAAGTACATCGTAGGGAAAATTGACCGTGCGTGGTTTAACCGCGGCGAAATTCTTGTTAGCTTTTGTGTATCCGTCAGACCGACCTTTGCAGCTCGAGTTTAAATAAACCCCTCTAGCCTAGCTGCGTGGTAAATGTTAATGTTGCCTGATAACTCATGTGATCTAAAAGCTTGGAAAGTTAACCCAAATGTGCGACAAAAGTGTTACCACATGTTTTCAAAACGTCCCTTTATAAATGTATTTTGTCTGTACGTCAGTACGTGGTCTCTGTGGTCGTACTTCAAGGGCGCAATCGTTGTTCAATGGGTACATGGTACTGTCTATTTATCAATCAAATTACTAATGGCTAGCAAATAGCTATGGTATACACTGTGTAGTCTTAAATCATAAGAAGAAGTATTATATAATATATACGATATAGTATATCGGAAGGATGATCTCATCAAATAACTTTCTCCTCCAGCGAGGTCGTAGTGCGCGGCACACTCATGTCACGCGCACGCATGGTCAGTTATTTATAACTTACGAAATATCAAGAAAATAATCGCCGCGCCTTCCATACAGTCCTCCATCCTTAGTCCTAATGTGTTTGAGAAAGTCTGACAGGTGCTTGTGTTGCCCAATAACTACGAAATGAGCATTTGTGGACCCTCTAGTAGCGGCCCCGCCCCTACTCTGTAATTAGTGCGGGGTAACTTAACGTCAGAGAGGTGAAGCGTTGCCCGCTGCTGACAAGGCTTCTTGTTCCGTAACACTGTCACTGTTGTAAGACAGGTACTTGGTTTAGAGAGGGTACCCTGTGGTTCAGGGTGTGGTGATGTCACCATCTGTTGAGCACGGACAGTAAGAGGACAAGGTGTTTACTTGTGAGGCTATTGTGAAACTCTGTGTGTCACTGTTTGTCACTCACCACTGTATTCCTGGACTTTTGTTATTTCTACTTTCGTGTGAAATGTGAAACATTACTATTTCAGTTCTGTTCGGAGAGGATGTGGCATTTGGAGGAGTATTTAGATGCTCACTTGGACTGCAAGACAAATACGGTGAGGGAATATTATAACTGTCAACTCTAATAACACAAGATCCCATATATACTGAATCCTGGGTAATATTCGTCTTAAGTCTGCAGAGGGAAGCCATAACTTGTGAGGTTTTAAACAACATGTCACACATAATACCATGTACATTATATTGTGAAACATTACCTGGAATTAAGGCTGGTGCGTCTTGACAGCACGTTCAACTGTTTAATATCATTGTACGAATCAATTAACACGTGAACTGAGCAGATGCTCTATTTAATGCGCATAATTATGTATCATATTATGTTGTAGTTATGTTAGAATTATATATTTATCCTCACTCCTCTTACTTTGATTATATCATAACGTCAAGCCCATGGTTTCGCAATAATTAACCCACCAAGCTGTGACACAATAGCGCTGTGTTAGTGCTACAATTAGTTATTACAGCTATAGTGCTGTCAAATAAAACTGGCACCTGCAGAACAATTTCCTTTGTTGAAATACACTGGTAAATAAGAGTATGCTATTAAAATACGTTACAATAAAAGAGACTGGTATTGAAATAGGGTAGAAGAAGAGAAGAAGTTGTAGTATTGATTAGTCTCGGAGCACAAAATTAACCGAGCAGGCTTTGTTGTAAAGTTGTAAGGTTAAAATACAGGAGCAATCCACCAGTGTACCCAATTAGTCTGCTTCTGTGTTTCTATTGTTGTACAGAGTGTGGCAGTACACAGAAGTGTCAGGAAACAGTTTAATATTACTGGTTACTAGGTTACATGTGCATGCAGCCGTTTACTAGGTTACATGCAGCCCGTTACTAGGTTACCAGTAGTTGGTTACTAGGTTACCAGTAGTTGGTTACTATGTTACATGCAGCCGGTTACTAGGTTACCAGTAGTTGGTTACTAGGTTACCAGTGCAGTAGTTAGTTACTATGTTACATGCAGCCGGTTAATAGGTTACCAGTAGTTGGTTACTAGGTTACCAGTGCAGTAGTGGGGGGGGGGGGGGGGGGGGTCCAACCCGATGTCCGATATGAGGGTTGATGAGGCCAAAATCGGAATCGGAAAAATCGGAAAAATCGGAAAATTGAGAAATTTACAGAATCGATCTCTAAAACCTCTCAGAAGTGATATAATTCAACCAGAACCCCTAAATATGCTATATTGTTATGAGAAAACGAACCAATTGGACATTCCAATAGTATGTTTTATGTGTTTTTCCACTGCAGGGGCTAGTATGCTCACTACTAGTTGAAGTTGTCATGTACTCCCAGACCCAGGTGCTTTGGCCTCTTGACGTGAGATCGAATGTTTCTGCTCATTAATTTTATCCCTGTTACTTGTTATTATGTATTAGTACAACACTAGGTACCGGGTTATATTTTGTCATTTTGTGGTCCCGTCTTTAAACATACCATAATATCACTAGTACACTGCACCTTAAATGTATAGTCAAGTACATTTGTATCGAAACACATGCTTAGCTGGGGGATCATGTTTTGTGTCCGTTCGGTACCCTATATTTTAAAAACGGACAAAAAGTAGGGCGGACAAAAACGGACAAAAACAGACAAAAACAGACAAAACAGACAAAAACAGACAAAACATTTAGATGTCCTCCTCCTCCTCCCTAGTCTTCCTCCTCCTTCTCATCAGTCCTCCTCCTCCTCCTAAGTCTTCCTCCTCCTCCTGAGTCCTTCTCCTCCTGAGTCCTCGTCAGTCCTCTTCATGACTCCTCGTCCTCCTCCTTCTCCTCAGTCCTCCTCACCCTCCTCCTCAGTCCCCTCCTCCTCCTCAGTCCTACTCCCAGTCCTCCTCCTTCTCCTTCTCCTCCTCCTCCTCCTCCTCCACCTCCTCATTTCTCCTCCTCATCCTCCTCCTCGTTCTCCTCCCCATCAGCCCTCCTCAGTCCTCCTCATAGTCGTCCTCCTCCTCCTTCTCCTCCTCATCAGTCCTCATCCTCTGTCCTCCTCATAATCGTCCTCGTCCTCATCCTCGTCCTTAGTCCTCCTCCTCCTTATCCTCCTCCTCAGTCCTCTCCCAGTCCTCCTCCTCATTCTCCTCCTTCTCCTCCTCCTCCTCATCCTCCTCCTCCTTCTCCTCTTTCTTCTCCTCCTAATCAGTTTTCCTGCTCAGTCGTCCTCCTCCTCCTCCTCGTCCTTAGTCCTCGTCCTCGTCAGTCTTCCTCGTCAGTCCTCCTCCTCATCATCCTCCTCCTCCTCCTCCTCCTCAACAGTCCTCCTCCGCCTCCTCAGTCTCCTCCTTCTCATCCTCCTCCTCAGTCCTCCTCAGTCCTCCTCCTCATCATCATAATCCTAAGTCCTCCTCCTTCTCCTCCTCATCAGTCCTCATCCTCAGTCCTCCACTAGTCGTCCTCGTCCTCGTCATTAGTCCTCCTCCTCCTCCTCTTCCTCCTCCTGAGTCCTCCTCCTCTTCCTCCTCCTGAGTCCTCCTCCTCTTCCTCCTCCTGAGTCCTCCTCCTCTGGAGTCCTCTTTCTCCTCCTCATCATCAGTCCTCCTCCCCCTCTTCAGTTCTCCTCCTGAGTCCTCCTCCTCATCCTCCTCCACCTCCTGAGTCCTCCTCCTGAGTCATCCTCCTCCTCCTCCTCCTCCTCCTCCTCATTCTCCTCCTTATCCTCCTCCTCCTCAGTCCTCCTCCTCCTTCTCCTCATCCTTCTCCTCTTCCTTCTCCTCTTAATCAGTCCTCTTCCTTAGCCCTCGTTATCATCCTCCTAGTCCTCATCCTTAGTCCTCGTCCTCATCCTCCTCAGTCTTCCTCCTCAGTCCTCCTCCTCCTTCTCCTCATCAGTCCTCCTCCTCCTCATCCTCCTCCTTAGTCCTCCTCAGTCCCCAGTCCTCTTCCTACTCGTCAGTCCTCCTCCTCATCCTCCTCCTCAGTCCTCCTCATCCTCCTCCTCCTCCTCAGTCCATCCTCCTCCTCAGTCCTCACCCAGTCCTCCTCCTCATCAGTCCTCCCCCAGTCCTCCTTCTCCTCCTCATCCTCAGTCCTCCTCCTCATCATCCTCCTTCTCCTCCCCAGTCCTCCTCCTCCTCAGTCCTCCTCAAGTCCTCCTCTTCCTCAGTCCTCCCCCAGTCCTCCTTCTCCTCATCCTCAGTCCTCCTCCTCAGTCCTCCTCTTTTTCTTCTTATCAGTCCTCCTCCTCGCTCTCGTCCTCCTCCTCAGTCCTCCTCGTCCTTAGTCCTCCTCGTCCTCCCCGTCCTCAGTCCTCCTTCTCCTCCTCCTCATGAGTCCTCCTTCTTCTCATCAGTCCTCCTCCTCCTCTTCAGTCCTCCTGAGTCCTCCTCCTCATCCTCCTCTACCTCCTGAGTCCTCCTCCTGAGTCATCCTCATCCTCCTCCTGATCATTCTCCTCCTTATCCTCCTCCTCCTCAGTCCTCCTCATCATCCTCCCCATTCTCCTCCTTATCCTGCTCCTTACCCTCCTCCTCCTCCTCCTCTTCCTTCTCCTCCTAATCAGTCCTCCTCCTCAGTCCTCCTTCTCATTCTCCTCCTCCTACTCCTCAGTCCTCCTCCTCCTTCTCCTCCTTCTCCTCCTACTCCTAAGTCTTCCTCCTCCTTAGTCCTCCCCCAGTCCTCCTCCTCATCAGTCCTTCCCCAGTCCTCCTTCTCCTCCACCTCATCCTCAGTCCTCCTCCTCATCATCCTCCTCAGTCCTCCCCCAGTCCTCCTCCTCCTTAGTCTTCCTCAAGTCCTCCTCTTCTTCAGTCCTCCCCCTGTCCTCCTTCTCCTCATCCTCAATCCTCCTCCTCAGTCCTCCTCCTCCTCCTTTTTCTTCTTATCAGTCCTCCTCCTCAGTCCTCCTCCTCGTCCTCGCTCTCGTCCTCCTCCTCAGTCCTCCTCGTCCTTAGTCCTCGCGTCCTCTTAGTCCTCCTCCTCCCCGTCCTCAGTCCTCCTTCTCCTCCTCCTCCGGAGTCCTCCTCCTCTGGAGTCCTCTTTCTCCTCCTCATCATCAGTCCTCCTCCCCCTCTTCAGTTCTCCTCCTGAGTCCTCCTCCTCATCCTCCTCCACCTCCTGAGTCCTCCTCCTGAGTCATCCTCCTCCTCCTCCTCCTCCTCCTCCTCATTCTCCTCCTTATCCTCCTCCTCCTCAGTCCTCCTCCTCCTTCTCCTCATCCTTCTCCTCTTCCTTCTCCTCTTAATCAGTCCTCTTCCTTAGCCCTCGTTATCATCCTCCTAGTCCTCATCCTTAGTCCTCGTCCTCATCCTCCTCAGTCTTCCTCCTCAGTCCTCCTCCTCCTTCTCCTCATCAGTCCTCCTCCTCAGCCTCATCCTCCTCCTTAGTCCTCCTCAGTCCCCAGTCCTCTTCCTACTCGTCAGTCCTCCTCCTCATCCTCCTCCTCAGTCCTCCTCATCCTCCTCCTCCTCCTCAGTCCATCCTCCTCCTCAGTCCTCACCCAGTCCTCCTCCTCATCAGTCCTCCCCCAGTCCTCCTTCTCCTCCTCATCCTCAGTCCTCCTCCTCATCATCCTCCTTCTCCTCCCCAGTCCTCCTCCTCCTCAGTCCTCCTCAAGTCCTCCTCTTCCTCAGTCCTCCCCCAGTCCTCCTTCTCCTCATCCTCAGTCCTCCTCCTCAGTCCTCCTCTTTTTCTTCTTATCAGTCCTCCTCCTCGCTCTCGTCCTCCTCCTCAGTCCTCCTCGTCCTTAGTCCTCCTCGTCCTCCCCGTCCTCAGTCCTCCTTCTCCTCCTCCTCATGAGTCCTCCTTCTTCTCATCAGTCCTCCTCCTCCTCTTCAGTCCTCCTGAGTCCTCCTCCTCATCCTCCTCTACCTCCTGAGTCCTCCTCCTGAGTCATCCTCATCCTCCTCCTGATCATTATCCTCCTTATCCTCCTCCTCCTCAGTCCTCCTCATCATCCTCCCCATTCTCCTCCTTATCCTGCTCCTTACCCTCCTCCTCCTCCTCCTCTTCCTTCTCCTCCTAATCAGTCCTCCTCCTCAGTCCTCCTTCTCATTCTCCTCCTCCTACTCCTCAGTCCTCCTCCTCCTTCTCCTCCTTCT